CCTTTTTCACACTGTTGAGGATTCTCAAGTTCATGTACTTATGTTCCACATTCATGATATAATTCTCAATTTCTAGCTTCCGATATTCTTTTTCTATGTAATAGCAGCAGCTAGACATCTAGAAGGCTTTAATCTATCTAAGCCATAAACACTATTAATACTCTGAAAAGTCCTCAGCTTTTTCTCAGTAGCATGTTATGCGAGAGCTGAGTTCAGAGGCCCATCATCTTACACTATATCATTAATCATTTTACCTTGTCTGTCCATGTGTTTTTTTTTCTTTAAATAAAATATAGGAGTGATTTACCATTGCCTTCGCCTATGCATTATGAATTAATGTGTTTGCCATTGTCACTGAAGCATCTTTCAATATGGTTGCTGCCTAATATAAGTGCCTGTTTGCTTTTGCTGGGCAGCTGAGATGGCCTTCATGCCTTGAGTGAATCTGGTAGGTGTATATATTCTTGACACACACTGCCAGAAGTTTTCCCTCAGGAATACAAACACACACACACACACACACACACACACACACACCATGAGGAGGCATCATAGCAACACTTGAGAGGGATATAGATATACATACAGATATTTTATCACATTGATATGACCATGTAGATACGTTATTTGTTTCACTTTCCTGGAACGATTGCCTGAAAACTTCTCTCTAGAGATTGAGGGCCAAAAAATTTCCAAAGTGGAGACCTCTTTCAGTTGATAGACAGTTAAAGCAGGCTGATACTCTGTCCTCAAAGGAGTGCTCAAATTCAGACTACATCCTGACTGAAACAGGATTAGATCATGGAAGGGTGAGTGACGGTAAAAGAGTGCCCTATGTTTTTATAGCATTAAGCTATTATCCTTTGCACACTGTGAGATGAGAAAACAGATAAGTGAAAATCTGAAAAATGATACTTAACCCCTCAGAATTTTGTTTGCAAGCCTGCAATAAAACAACCTACTACAAAGTCATTCCAGTAGTGAGATAGCAATAGCACTTAGATTTATACACCACTTCATAGTGCTTTATGTCATTCTCTAAGCAGTTTAGAGAGTCAGCATATTGCCCCTAACAATCTGGCTCATTTTACCAACTTGGAAGGATGGAAGGTTGAGTCAACCTTGAGCTGGTCAGGATCAAACTCCCGATAGTCAGCAAAGTCAGCCTGCAATACTGCATTTTAATCACTGCACCACTAAGGCTCTATGAGTGCATAGCATATAAATGAGATTGGTGGCATATAAATTTAATAAATATCTACTAACCAGGTAGACTGAGGTGGGTTGGTTGGTTGGTTGGCTAGTTAGTTAAGGTGTTGCTGTGTTGGGTTCAGTTCCTTGTGACTGCATATAAACAAATGCTCACTACCTTGACCTGTCTCCGGTAATAACTTACAGCTCTTCCAAAGACAATCCAGTAATCTTTTTGATCCCATCAATCCACCTTATCTGTTGCCTTCCTCTTCTTCCACTTCCCTCAACTTTGCCAGGCATAATCATGCTAGCCCATTATCCACTCACATCACATGCCCTATTATTTAGTTTCTGTATACTGATCATCACCTTGAGGGAGCAGTATTTATCTGATGCAAGATTGACAGGTTTCTCTTGCAATACATGATGCTTTTCCCCCCCTCCAAATCAATAATTTGAAGCCATCTTTTTTCTTCTCTTGCTCTGTCAATATGCAGCTTTTAGAGCTGTATACCACTGGAAAGCTAATCACCTTAACTATTATCTTTGTTCTCATTGAAATGTCCTTATTTTTCCACAATCTTGTCTAAGTTTGTCATTGCCTTCCTCCTTTGTCTCTAACACATTATCCACCTTTATATTTGAGTCCCCGAAAGCAAATACATTACCTTCACTAAACATGCAAAACAAAATAAACTTTATTCTAATAATTTGCATTAATTTGGATTTTTCGTTTTCAATTTTACCTCTTACAATGAGCCTGTCAAACTCTACTTTCAGTTAACGATGTGGTATTGTTTGCACAGATAAACTGTTAAGAGTTTCCTCCTCCAATTTTGGTTCCAGCTGTCATCTCTTCTAATCCTACCATTTGTATAATATATTCGCTGTGCAAACTAAACAGATGTGAAGATAATATGCATCTTTGTCTTACTGCTTTCCATATTCAGAACAATTTTGTTTCTCCAAATTTGTTTCTTACTTTTTGTTCATTGTAAAGATTTCTTTGAAGAATAACCAGGGATTCTGGAATGCCCAATGGTTTTAAAATGTTCCATATTCTGCAAGATCTATACAGTCAAAGGCCTTGCAATAACCAATGAGGCAGAGATAAATCTGCTTTCCTGTATTGCTTTGCTCTTTTCATCCTTCGTTATCTCTTTGCTTTCACATCCCCGTCTTTTCTGAACTGTTTTGAATAGTAATTTAAATAATTTGACATGTGTGGCTATAGACACGTTTTTCAGAATTGACTTTAAATAAAAACATTGCATTACTGATAGTCCTCGACTTACAACAGTTCATTTAGTGGCCATTCAGAGTTACAACGGCATTGAAAACAGTGACTTATGACTGTTTTTCACACTTAAAACCATTACAGCATCCCCAAAGTCCCATGATCAAAATTGACTCAAATTTATGATGGTTGCCATATCCTGGGGTCATGCAATCTGCTTTTGCCACCTTTTGATAAGCAAAGTCAATGAGGGAGCCGGATTCATTTAACAACCCTATTACTTAACAACTGCAGTGATTCACTTAACAACTGGGGTAAGAAAGATCGTAAAATGCGGCAAAGTTCATTTAACAATTTTTTCACTTAGCCACAGAAATTTTGGGCTCAATTGTAGTTGTAAGTTGAGGACTATCTGTACTGCACTCATTCGGTAATTGGCACATTTCATCTGTCTTTTTCTAGTATAGCTATATGCTTGGATATTTTACCATTTCTAGCCTAATTGACTCTGCAATTGCCCTGGAATTAAACTTAACTTTTTTGAAGAGAAGGCATGTGTAGTAATCAGTGTACCTTTTAAACTCTTTATATATCAGATTTCAAGCTTTCTAGATCAGGGCTTTTCAACCTTTTCACCTATTGTACCACTTTTAGGATATGGCACTATCTGAGTACCACCCGTCGCCTAGCAAAGTGTCAAAAACTTGATGACCTCCCCCCCCAAAAAGGGAAAAAGTGATAAAGGTAGTCGTCAACTTACAATAGTTCGCTTAGTGACTGTTCGAAGTTACAATGGCACTGAAAAAAGTGCCCCACAAGGCACAGCCAAGCAAGACACCTGCCTGTCCGCCCGGCAGCGCTCTTCCTCCTGTCCAAGGTTTTCATTGTTGTGAGCATTTCTGTTGAGGATTGGCAGCGGGGGTGAGGTGGGGGAGGTGTTTGGTTTTTATTCCTGTCTGCTGGGTGGTTGCAGCAGGTTTTGGTCACTTCACATGACCCTGGGACACTGTGACCGTCAGAAATATGAATCAGTTGCCAAGCATCTGAACGTAAATCACAAATTCCTGGAGATTCTGCAACATTCCAGCTGATCGGCGCTTCTTCTGGGCTCAGCAGAAGCGCCAGGATCAGCAACGAGCTCCAGCTGGAGCCTGGCGCTGATCCTGGTGCTTCCACTGAGCCCTGACAGCCCCGAAGCGCCAATCAGCTGGAAAGTGGCACTGATCCTGGCGCTTCCTCTGAGCCATGACAGCCCTGCAGTTCCAGCCATCTCTCGCTCAGGCTTGTGTGGTGCTGCCACTGGTTCAGCTCATTCCCCTCCCCCGCTACCACTTTTCTAGGATGTCGCCTACCACCTGCCAGGTGCCAATGTACCACAGGTGGTATCCGTACCACTGGTTGAAAAGCCTTGTTCTAGATAATATTTAAGAAGGAATGCATCACATCTTTTTTATACTAATAAAGGAGAATATTTGTGCTCAGGATTGAAATGAGGGGCCCTTGGTGCTCTCAGAGCTTGCTTGTTTTCTTACAGACGTTTCATTATCCTAACTAGGTAACATCATCAGTGCTAGTAAGGAGTGCTATCTGCTGTCAGTTTATATTCTAGTGACTTGCCTGTCAGTGTTTGTGGGAAAGATCTTAGAGATTCTTTGATTGGGCCGTTTGCTGTTGGCTTCTTTGGCCGTTCCTTGATTGGGGTATTGTTTACTTGACTGTTGATCTGATGTTGGAGCTAATCTATGCTGGTCTGGGTGCTGATTGCTGGTGAAGAAGTGTTAGGGTCTTTTTGTTCCTTTTTGGGCTGGGTAACAGTCTCTTTTGTATAGTCTATAGATGTTGTTAATATCAATGTATCTATTGATGGCTGATTTGTCAGAATGCTAGGCTTCTACAAATTCCCTGGCATTTTTGGACTCGGCTTGGTCTAGGATGGTCCCATTTTCCCAATTGAAACTAAAGAAAATTTCACAACATATAGACAGATTTAACCATAGTTAAATCCTAGACCAGGGATAGGCAACCTTGGCTCTTTTATGACTCGTGGACTTCAACTCCCAGAATTCCTGAGCCAGCTATGCTGGCTCAGGAATTCTGGGAATTGAAGCCCACGAGTCATAAAAGAGCCAAGGTTGCCTACCCCTGTCCTAGACCAAGCCAGGTCCAAAAATGCCAGGGAATTTGTAGAAGCCTGGCACTCTGACAAATCAGCCATCAATAGATACATACAGTAGACATTAACAACATCTATAGACTAGGCAAAAGAGACTATCACCCAGCCCAAAACGGAATGAAAAGACCCAAGCATCTTTGAGGAAAGAGCCTAGCAATGTTGATATGCTGACTTACCCAATGGTGCCCCATATTCTTATATTTTACATGCCTCATTACAATAGCATTTTAAATAATGCTAAGCTTTAAAGAAATTTAAGTCAGTTTTTTTTACAAAAACAAGACTTTGCAAAAGTAATATTCTTCAACTATAACAATTTACTCAAAATTGTGGATGCCAATTTCTGTTAACAGCAATTAAGAAACATGAAAAATGTTCAAAAGAATATAAGGACACTTTTAAAAGCAACCCACATATTTTATTGGGAATGGTAATAAAAATCTAATACTAGAGGCCAATTTAGAACTAACTCCATTCACTAAAATTCAGCATCTGTTTCTTCAAGCAGAATTTCACCGAAGAAGTTATTTAGGACAAACTGACAGACTTTTATCAAAAAGTTAAGGATATGTGGAAGAAATTGTGAAAAAATATCTCCAGGTAGCCCTTCTTTCTTATTTTATAAATCAACAAGGTATACAGCATCATACAAATTTTACTATAAGTATATACTAACATATATACATACATTTCTTTGAAGAGCAAAACAAAACTTGATATTTAGATTCTCATTCACAATGAATAGAAAAGTATATTTTTATCTTCATGAATAATTTTCTTTCTGCCTATCCATCCATTCTTAAAAACAACAATAACAGACTACTAAGAAATTCTAATGAACTTAGAAATGCTTTGGAGTCCCAGCAGCAGAACTACTCTCTGCCAAATAGTCTTGTTGTTTCCTTTATTAGCTGGATTCATCTATTTTTCTCCGACAATATGGGCAACAATTATGCTGGAGCACCAGGAGCTCATAATCTTCTGAATGAAACATCTGTAAATGAAAGTTGCAAGATGGACTCAATAGATGTTAACAGGGTAGTGGGAAAGTGAGTAGATGGGATTATCTAAAGACAATTTCTGGTCTTTCCTTTCAGTGCATTATCCCCTACATATACTATTCTGCACGGAGATGATTGCAGGCTTATTCCTTTGCCAGCACAGCCCTTCTGTTCTTTCCACGGGATAAATATCTTCTAGGCCAGAGGATAAATGAAGATGAAATAAAAATAGCAACATACTGCAACCCATGAAAAAAAAATATGTCAATATCTTGGGATAGTACATTGCCAATTTTAAAATGATTAAGATTCCAAAAAAAGAAAAAAAAGGAATGAATTTAGATTGTACAATGAGTAAATGTGGAGTTATTTGCAAATTTAACTCTATCGCATTTGGATCTTATGACAACTGGGATATGATTCCTACTATGGAAGGAATAATCTTTCTTGAACTAATGATTCCGAATGGGTCATTCTACTTTTTATGCTGCAAAGATTAAATCTCTGCCAAGAAATGTGACAGAATGTCCGCGTCTCTTTATATGTCAGAGCCTTTGATCCTTCTATTTAAAAGAAAAATCCCTCTGTATATGAGTACATCTATACAGCTGAAGTTACAGTGGCTGGTACATCTAATGAAATAGGCTTTAGACCAGAAAATGTATGTTGCAATACATCTACTATTCTTTAAGGTATTATGGCATTTTTGCACCGCTTCTGCTACAAGCAGATTAACACAATCATCCCTCTTGAAACAATACATCTATAATTTCATGAATGACTTGCGTTTGTACAGAAGTGTTCATTTTAAAAATATTAATGCACAATTGCTACTCTCCATGAATAAATGGCAGTACTTGAGACATCTTAAGCACAAATTCTCAGCCATATCACAAAATGTCCCCTTAAAAGATTAAACCATTGCAGGCCATGCATACTAAAAAAAAAAACCCACAAGGGGCTATTCAAAGTTGTTGAATACAAACTAATTGCCATATAACCATTAAGTATCCTGTGTCTTTCTGCTTTTAATTTCATATAACCTGATTGACTGGTTAGAGTTATGCACCAAATAGTCAGACAAGGAAGAAAGAAATCGCCAAAGCGAAGTGTAATTATTCTTCTCCTCTTTTGCTCAAATAACAGACTCATCAAACTGTCTTTCAGCAGCTGCTTTACTTCATTTTGCAAAATGCTCTGCAGTGATCATGTGCTTGTCATTTTTTTTTCTTATGTGCAGCAGAAAACATATCTAAAAACATTACAATTTTCCCCATTTCCAGGACATATTTTGCTTTTAGCCAGCAAATCTACACCTCCAAATCCTCAGTATTTATATTCATGAATTTTTTTTACAGGTATCTGTTCTTCCTTACCCTTCCACTCACTCCCCTCCCAAAATCTTACTCAAATACCTGAAAGCAGAAAGAACACATGGTAATGGGATTGTCTGGAAGGAGGGACCGGAAGTACTGCCATTGCAATGGCTTTGACCAGCGTTTAATCAACACATCTCTCCTGCTCATGGATTTGAGAATTGCGCGGTTCACTACGACAGGGACATATTCAGAGCCACCTTGCTGCAGGAAAAGAATAATTACAGAAAGAAAACAAATGCTTGAGACTGGTGGAGGCCATTGGAATGATAAAGATCATTTCAGAAACTGTGTACGGGTTATTACTTTTGATTTTAATTTGCATATACTGAGGCTGTATTTACACTGAGCTATCAGTTCCTATTCAGTTCTGTATTTAGCCCTGGAACTATTCCTAGTTTGAAAAGCCTGCACATAGTCCTCCTGCAATGAAATCTGGAAAACGCTGAAGATGGCATGTTGGAGTCTCTTTCAGCTTAGTCATCTTCTACCCCAGAAGAAATCTGTTCTGTCATCTAAGGTACACATATGTCTATGGAGATTCTCAGTCATCCCAAAGATGCTTTTTCACAAGGCAACTGGACTTTCTTGTTTTTTTCTTTTCCTTTTTTTTTCTTTGAAAACATTTCACTTCTCATCCAGAAGCTTCTTCAGCTCTGACTGGATGGTGGGGAATGGAAAGATTTATACTCCTTGCAGACAGCTGGTCATTTCATTTTTTAAATGTGTCCTTAGAGCTGCCTGGAGGCTCATCTGTTTTCTTCAGGGTCACCTGAGTAGTGCAAATGGGTGTGGAGCCTTCTTGGAACTGTTGAAAGGACTGTGTTGTAGACTGGAGATAAATGGTGTCAGATCCCTCCCCGTTTATTGAGAGAGGGCTGTTCAATTTTGACATAGATAGCCTCTTTGACCACTCTTTCAAACCAGTGGTCCTCTCTGTCCAAAATGTGGACTTTGCTGTCTTCAAAAGAGTGGCCTTTGCAGATGGACTGCTGAGGTACAGATAAATGACTGGAATATGCTCACTAAGTTTATTATGACACAACCTCTAAGGTTTATGGACGTATAATAAAGGAAAAACACCCCAATTAATCTTGTGTCTTTAGGAGATGACTGGAATACCACAAACATTCCAGACTTAGCTGAGCCCCCAAGCATTGCATGTGCACATCACGCTGGCTGAGGAATTCTGGGAGTTGAAGTCCACAAATCATAAAAGGGCCAAGTTTGAAGACCCCTGCACTAGAGTATTAGTGTTATTCCACTAGTGCTCTATGATGTCACCATTTTTAGATAGTGTTTTTTTATTCCTCCAAAAGTTCTCTCCCCCTTCCCCCCCCCCCCCCAAGTCCAGGCTTTCATGCAGCTCTGGGATTGCCTTTGATGGACCACACTTCATTTTGAAAGTGACTGACATACATTTTCTAATTAGAAACAGAAGCCTTGTAATCACTATTACCCATCATTTAGAACTTGAAAATATTATTACCCTGTCTAAGTGCAATTTAGAGATCTCTTCACTTAAGGTTCAATGGCAACTAAATCTTTATGTAGGCAGAAGGTGATAGTAAACTAACAAATGTAAAGTTGGGGCTGATCCCCATGAAATGCCCAAAATAAAAACTGCCCATTTATGGAGATGGCAAGTTATGCCTCAGAGTCATCTAGCCAGTGTAAAAAATAGTAAAATAAATTGTAATAGTACTTTTTACCCTTAATTTTTTCTAAAGCTACCATTAAAATTTGTTCAATATGTATGTTCTACAAATGATAAAAAAGCATTCCTTCTTAGCATAATAACTTCTTAGGCCACCCTCCTGTTTCTGCAACAGTAATATATATTTGCCTGCGGGATATCCAGCTGCTTCTTTAGTTCTTTATTCATCTTAAAAGTTAATTTAATTTTAAGGAGAGATGGGATAAGTACTTCATAAATAAGCCACCAGATAAACATCATAATCATCATGGCCGATGTGAATACCATCTCCTCATTAATGAATTTTAGGCACTTTTGCAGTGTGATGCACAACCTATTCAAGCTGCCTGGTATGAGAACTGTGATTCAGCCAAACCAGCAATTACATAAGCCATTCCTGTCAGATATATCAAGGGAATTTTAAAAAGGTCAGACAAATCAAGGCAACATTTGTATTCTATGGGAGAGATCTGGTAGAAAAACATAAAATATTATTAATGAAAGGGAATGATGGTATGAAAAGCATGTTTGCTGTAGAAAATCCCCTAGGTCTACATTTCTGTAACTAATCAACAGTCTAAAGAAAACAATTGAATGAAGAGACAGTTCAGGAAAACAAGAAATTGAAAAGAAAACAAGAAATTGCTTACAACCTCAAAACTCAATTTTGCTGTAAATGGATCATCTTCCTCAATCTCGTCCACTTTATAAAGAAGTCTCATTGTTTGCACACCTAGAAGCATGTGTTAGGGAGAAAATAAGTTCTAAAAGACATTACACAATTACACTAGGAGCAAAGGCAAGCAGTGGAAACTGAGTGATTTCCAACCCTGGTTTCAACTTTTCCTTATCTCCAATGAGAAAAACTATGAATGTACATTTTATTTTCATAATTCCTGATACAGTGATTTGTTTAGAAATATGAACATCTGCGGATGAAAGACAAAGGTTAGCAAATAAGCAGGGGCCCCTGAAAGAGAGAAGGTAGCTAGAAGGAGTGGAGCTAATATTTTGTATTCTGTGAATGAGGAAAACTCCCATTCCCAGTTCCAGTACTGGAGAAAACACAATACTTCATGATTTGTTCTGAAACAAAATCAAAAAATTCCTGTAACATTACTACACTTTCTTTCTTTGCACCCTAGCAGTTTGTTTGTTTTTTTACAGTGACACAATGAGTCCTTTACACACCGATCTCTATCTCTTTGGCTCCATGCCTTTATAACGCAGCCAGACATCAATAGAGAACATAGGACTTAACCTGTAATAATTAGAACTGTACAATTACCACCAATGCTGAGTTTCAAAGTAAATCCAAGTTGCTTTTCCTAGGCTACAGAATGGAGCTTTTTTTTTTTTAACTGTTCTCAAATAATTGTTATACTTAACATTTTTATCTTTTTACTAAAAAAATAAAAATTATATAGCATTACTACAGATTTGCCAGAATAACACGCTTATCCCAAATAACTGCTAGGAAGGATACCATTACTCATTTGTTCTTGCCATTCACTGCCTCTTTTGTTTAGTCTGGGTACTTCTAGATCAATCAGAGCAACAGCTTCTTCATCAGTTATTCCATCTTCCAAGTAGAATTCAACCAGATGCAAGACATCTGAAGTGGTTGCAGGAGAAAAAAAAACAAAAAACGGTTAATCCTCAGAACAGCTGCAAAGCCCATGATATCCATTCTAGAGATAAACAGAACACTTCTGGACATACACTTACACACACAAAATGCAAACAAAACACAATCCCGCTAGTTTAATATCATTCATACACTCCTCTCACGTACAGGATACCAAAGGCCATCATCTAGTTCCGGTTTTTGGATACATTTTGTTAAAAGCCAGTTTGGCTCTGAGAAGATAACAAGTCTTTAAAGAGCACCATTGAGATGTCATAGGATTAACCGATACAGCAATAGAACTTTTTTCTGTGAATATTATGAGAAGCAGTACTAAATGGGAAGGCAAGGATTGCAAGGCACCGAACTAGGAGTCTCACTGAAAAAAATGTAGAGATGTAATATTGTAGAAAAATGTAATATTCCAACGCACCATAAGAGGAAGCAGCAAAGACAAAAGGTTGCCTGCAATTAATGCAGACATTCCCCAGATTGTTCAGTAAGGGGTTGTGGGTGGAGCACCTGTAACATAAAGGCACCAGCTCCTGCAAAGAAACACAGAGAGGCAAAGTCACTGCTAGCCAGCCACAATAATCTAAACATCTGAATTAAACCCAAGGAAGAGTGAATGGCTATTCTTCAAACACTCCAGCCCATTACCCCATTTCTTAGAGGCCAGTCTAAAGTGATTTCCAATACTGGCTGGTAATGCAAGACCTCTAAGGAAGATACCCAACAAACCTGATGCAAATAGGAAGTAATCAGTCAAGACATATGATAAATACAGAAATAAATGTACAGTAAGTCCCTATTTATTTGAGTGTACCAGCACATCAAAACTTATAAAATGGAAGAAAGGATCTAAAGTAACACATACCTGTTGCTTTAAAAATGACTTTTAAAATTACAAGTGTCTTATTTGGATTCTACAAAGCAGGGGTCCCCAACACCCGGTCCGTGGACCAGCACTGCAGCATGCCAGCAAGCAGGCCTCACAAACAAGCAAAGCTCCATCCTCAGGATGCAGGCAGTATTCAAAACCACACCCCCTCTGGTCCGTGGAAAAAACCTTTCTTCATGGCACCAGTCCCCGGGTGGCCAAAAGGTTGGGGACCTCTGCTATAAAGCATGATAAGTCTTATATTCTGAAGACCTGTAGAAGAGTCTTCCAGATCCAGAGAGCAACTACAAATGCAAGCTTAGAAATGTGCACATTTTTATTTGTTTCATTATATACAAGGATTTTCTGAGTCAATTAGAATTGTGAAAAAACCAGAAGTCCAATAATTCATCCTCTTGATACTCCAGCCCCAAGCTGTTTGAGCCACAATTAGTTTAGCTTCAACGTTTAAAAAGGCATTTTAAAGTCATTGGGGGGATAGTCTTTACCAAAAAGAAAAGACTCACAACAGAGAAAAAGAAAAATTATTCATTTTCTGTCCAACAGGCCATGTAATCACAAATAGCAGAAAGGACTTTGGGAAATGATAATTGCCACTTTTAATTTTCAAAAATCAAAAGCTTCATATGCACTCCAGGGCGCAATCTGCTTAGCCAAAATTAACAGTGAGAACTTTAGCTAAATTCGATAGATTATTAAATCTGTTTAATACGTTCTAGAGAGTCCTTGCTTTAGTGACTGTCTCATTTAACAACCATTTGTAGTTACGACTGTGATGAAAAAGTAATTTTATGATCAATCCTTGCATTTACAATCTTCACAATTCTTTAAAACAAAGGAAAGCTGAAGTAAGTTCATAAGCACAGTGTTGGTTTCACTTAGCAACTGCTTTTCTTAATGATCCAGTTGCTGGTCTCAGTGATGGTCACTAAATGAAGACTATCGCTATGTCACTTTATATAACAACCAGTTCAAGAGTCTGAGCATCTTACAAGAATAAAGAATATAACAAAAGTCAACCTTAATCAGCCAAAACTGAAAGATCCTTATCCTTTAACCAACCTATAAAATACAGTAGCTTAATCACTAGAAAGTCTCATATATAGAGATTAAAAATCAAACTCAAGCTTGAACTAAACCGTATATACACCTGTGCAGAAATTCAACAAGGAGAATTCCAGATGTATCTCGTGGGCAAGATGTTCCAACACAAGAAAGCCTGCATGTGCATTTGCCTTTGAATTCTTATAAGGATGAGACAGAAAGCATCCCTTCCCTTCAGACATGAATGGTTGAAAGAGATTTTATTTGGAAAAGTTAGTCTTTAAGGCATTCTGATACAAGCAGTGTAGAGCTTTATAGTCTAAAAACAGCACTTTGAAGTAGATTCAAAACTATACTGATAACCAGCACAGCTGAAGAACAGGTGAGAGATAGCAAGCTGAAAATGAATCCAGATAAGACAGAGGTATTGCGGATAAATAGGAAATAAGATTACACTATAGCCAAATAGTGAGGTTTGCAGATTGGAGAAGTTCATTTATTCTCAGGTGTCACTGGATAAGCATCTTTTATGATTGGCTGTCAACTTGCTTACAATGGCGCAATTTAAATTATAGGTATGGACCTTTAAAGAGCTAAATGATTTAGGGCCCAAATGTTTAAATAACTGACTATTCCATTACAAACCAGTTCAATTATTAAATTCAGCAGAAGACTTTCTTAAAAATGCTTTTGTGCTCAGGATTCATCATTCTGGGCCTCAAGGAGAAGGCTTGCATTGTTCTGAATCGATGGGATATGGGCCCTCAGGAACCATACTAGGCCTCACTCTCTCTGTGCTTACAAAATGGTAAAAGTACACCTTCACAACTGTAAAATGGACTTAGTGTTAAATGTTATTGTTAACTTTAATCTTTCATTTTTAACTTTTTGGATCCCATTTTTGTTTAATTTTTGTTAAACAAAAATTGAGTGCTCCCTAGAGCTGAAAGGCGGGGTATAAAGCAAACACAAATAAATATTACATTCTTCCTGTTTTTCTTTTACATCAGGACAGACCTAGACATAAAAATGGGAAATTGGGACTGTTAACTTTCTATCATCTTGTAGAACAGGACTGTCTGAGGTATTGCATATATTCTGTTTCCAATCCCTCTAGCATCAAATGAATCCTATGCAACATATTCATTTGTCAGAGAGAGAGTGAACAAAGGTTAGCAAAACAAGGGAGCGTTTGGCTCAGAGGCCTAAGAAACAGGACCTTTGATTCATTAACTTAAACTTCTTTTAGACTGCACCTCAGGCAACTTTGAAGTCCTCTAGGACCTTAGTATTCTGTAGATATTATTTCAGGTGCCCAGATGGAACGAATTTTGTCCTGTTCATTTAAGATTAAGTATTTATAATATCCTATGTAGTTTGACGTGCTCAGCCCCTTTAGGCAGAATGTTAGAAGACATGGACAACTACTCAAAAAAAGAAGGGACACTTTTTAAAAAAAAATGACCTTCAAAAGGTAACAAGTTCTGAACCTTCGTGAGGCTTCACAAAGGAAGCTTCTCAGATTTTATGCCAGGTGCCAACAGGATCCCATGTGTCATGTCAGATATCAAAGCATGGTTGCAATAAAAAGAGGACTTACTTCGCTGTCGTGGAAAGGCTTGGATCGGATCGTCAGGCTTCCCAGTTCAACGGATTTTTGAAATCTGGCTGGGATCTGTAGTCCCTGCAACTTGTCATAGGCATGACGAGCCAATTTATAGGCACCCAGAGCTTTGCTCTGTTTTGCCAGGGCAAATAATGTATTGCTGTAATCAAATTAAGGAACAAAACATACATATGGCAAGCAGGAGAAAACCACATCATTGCTTTCAATCCGGGGAGTCACGAACTAAAGCATAACCAAAACCTTGATGTGAAGGTTGTTTACATAAACAAAATACAAAACAACTGCTTGAATACCAATGGCTTTTTGAATGAACAAGGGAAATGGAACGATTCAGAAATGAACTTATTTAACGTCAGGCTTAGCAATATCTGCATAGAAAAGACAATGATTTTTTTTTTTGTAAGGAAGGAAAACACCGTACATCTCTGGGGACAAAAATGCCGAAAACATTACTTGCAAAGACCAGCGAATAGGCAGCCCTGCTTTTCAAATGCAAACTCCAATGTGCAGTGTAAAACAAACATGCTATGTTCAATTGACAGGTGACCAGACAACCATCAAGAGGATAAATGTGCTGTTGAGATAAATCTGATCGTATAAATTCAGCTTCACGAGCTTAAATTTAGCTTGCTTAATTGGATTCTAAACCTTTCACCCAATATCAGGAAGGAAAATAGTAGGGGCAAATTGTCAAGTATCACTCTTGTGTTTCTCCTACTCTCAGTCACAAAAGACCAAGTTATCTGCAATCTTCACTGGCCTCTTCACCAGACACACCAATAAGACAGTAGATCGTTTACACTTTAGCTTAACCCTGATAAAGACTCTCCTGGATTCAATTTTTTATTTTATTTATTATTTATCCCCTGCTTTTACTCCTAAGTCCTGCTATGCTGCCTCATTATGATTGGAGGAGAAAGAGGGTTGTTTTGGGGAAGAATGAATGATCAAAGAATATCAAGAGTAGACTTCAAGAGTGCATCTCCCAGAAAGGTCACCCAAAGGGTGAAGGTCATCCCAGTTTCCCAGCTAAAGCAAAAAGGCACTTACTGTATGTCAGACAGCAATGATACTGGAAAATGCTGGAGGCAGGGGATCATTTTAGTGATAACCGGAGACTATCATGCAGGAGACCAAATCAAACCATTAAAAAGAAAATTAGGTCTGTTCCAAGCCAGCTTTGAAAGAACACAGGACAGTTGCCTAAAGCAGAGGTAGATTTTGACTTTAACTCTGCCACAAAGAAGAGGAGAGTCAACTTATTTTGCAAAGCACCAGAGGGCAGGACAAGAAATAATGGATGGAAACTAATCAAGGAGAGAAGCAACCTGGAATTAAGGTAAAAGCTTTCTAACGGTGAGGACAATTAACCAGTGGAACAGTTTGCCTTCAGAAATCGTGGGTGCTCCATCACTGGAAGTTTTTAAGAAAACACTGGACAGCCACCTGTCTGAAATGGTATAAGGTCTCCTGCTTGAGCAGAGGGTTGGATTAGAAGACCTCCAAGGTCCCTTCCAGCTCTATTTTGATTGACTTAGGACTGGTCGCTTAGCAACCATTCAAAGTTACAACAGATCTTATGACCTGTTTTGAAGTTCTGATGGTTGCTCCCCCTGAAGTCATGTGATCGTATTTTAGGTGCTTGCTGTCCATTCCACACTTACGACTGCATGACTGTGATGTACATTTTTGCCATAAACTTGTGTTTGTTTTCAGTTTTCTACAAAAATGCCCCATAGCAAACAATGGGCTCACTAAATAATCGCCACCAAAAAAAGATTGCCATAAAAGCAGGTTGGTCACAGGATGGCCCACTTTACAAATGTCACAACTTATGATCATAATGGGCAGGCTTCATTATGGTCCAAAGCTGAAGACTACCTGCAGTATTCCATATTTGGTGGTGATGTTATTATCAAACCAGCACTGGGTGGAAGCAGAAAGGGTCAACAACTTTTCAAAAGCACCTGAAGCTTTTGTTCAGGAAGATTTGCAGAGATCTTTTCCACTTTAGCTGGAGAACATTTGTTTACTTGAAGACTTTAATTTTTTACTTGAAACTTCTAACAGAGTCGATTGAGAAAGCCACAGAATTTTTTTTAAAAGGGGGGAGGGACTTTGACTAAATATAAAGGGTCTAGAGTCACCTAGAGTTCGCCCCAAATACTGAGATGTGCAATGTATACGTTATTTAAATATATAGCACTAAAATAATGACAACTGGTACAGCAACCAGTCTTAAAGTGGTGGATAGTTTCTGCTTTTTTAGGACTGACAATCAACTATAAAGGAATCAACAATCTGCAGATTAATAATTGGTAGGGTAGAAATGAAAACCTTGGAAATGATATTCAGGTGCCAGAATGTGTCTATACTTACAAGGATGAGAATTATGCCTGCAATTATTTTACCTGTGATAATCTATAGAAGCAAAAGATGCACTTTGAAAAAGCAGAATTGAATGGGTGATGCTTTTGAATTTCTCCAAACATCACTCTTGAGAATACCATGAACAAAGAAAATGTTAAAAGCAGAATACTCAGGGACAAATGATCAAATTGACCTCATCTGGACACATACAGAGATTTAGTTCTCTTGAGAGGTTCATAAGGCTGAAAAGGTGGAAAAAAGAGGAGAAAGGGCAACCAGCAGCAAAGAGATAAGAGTTGATTACACCTGAAGAGTCAGGCTGGGAACTGATCATCCGGGAACAGGTCTATCTGTGTAGACACTAAACTGACACTGCTTAATGGCACATAATCAACCTATATCACTATTCAGAGGGCATTTAAATGTATCAACCTATACATCTTGAAACCAAATTATCCGGAAGGTCATTCTGAAAAGAACTGTTACATTGCTGAAAATCAAAAAACTTCCTTAGATCTTGATCTATCTAGACTGTCTTATAATGGTCATTATCCTTGATCCAAACAGGCAAATTGTTTTCTATAATGAGTTCTCTTTGTATCTAGACAGGAATCTTTTTAAGCTGTACTGGAAATGCTAGGGATAGATAGATAAATAGATAGATAGCTAGATAGATAGCTAGATAGCTAGCTAGATAGATAGATAGATAGACAGACAGACAGACACACACACACACACACACACATATATACAGAGTCTGGCTGACTGACTGACTATATATATATATGTATATGTGTATATATATATATATTCCCTCGTGGAAAACTAGAAATCTTTTTCAACATTTAAATTTGAATATATCACCAATTTTGATAGGAAAGAAGATAAAGATGGCTTGATATTCTTTGATATATTGGGAATAAGATAAATGTGATCCGGATGAAGTTAACTCAAATATTGTTTAAAATTTTGATAGGTCTTTCTTTATTTCTTTATTCCATTTCAACACATTTATAGGATATTAAATAATTTTGTCTGGCTGGGCCATTTTCATTCTATAGACAACCTGCTGGGCAAAATAGATTTAATTTTCTACTCTTTCAGATTTATTATGAGATGTTTATTTTGGCTTTGGTTAACAGTTGGAATGAGAAACCTCTGAATTGAACTCTTCTTCAGACTCAAATTGAATGCTATTATGCAACACCACTAAAAACCTGAAAGTATTGAGCTCCTTGTTTATGGATCAATTTCCATTCCTGCAAGATGAAAAGTATTGGGTCACAGTATAATTTTAATTAACATTTAACATGAAAGCTTAACCATTATGGGTCAACTCCAGTTTAAAAATAGGGGTTAATTCAGAAGTTGGGAGTGGGAGGAATAAACTAGGCTTTTCATAACTTAGAATCACAGTATTGAAAGGACATTTATGCCACTGACCCAAATCTACTGTCTACTCCAGAAATTCAAATTTAAAAAACCCAGAGATGCGTATTTAGATTCTTTTTTAAGATGTCTCTTGAAGGGAAAGCTATTCTCTGGATAGTTGGTTCTACAATGCCATTAAACGACAATTAGACGAGTTCTCTAACATTTGACCTTCTGCTTTATGGTTTTTGACCTTTGGTGTTGAAGAGTCCTATGCTGGTATGTGGAAATGACCTTGGGATAAAGGAGAAAGTGTCACAACCAATGGAATTGTCAGACAAGAGGCAGCTTAATCTGTGAAAATAATGTGGGTGTGGCAACCACTTCAAATGGGACCTTCCCCTAGGTTCTTTAGGGGAGAAATGTACTTTCAGACTTGCATGTTTCTGCTAATGTAACTTTACAATAAAGTAGAATTAATCATGCTTCCTATCTGGATTACTTTGCAAGGCTGACAACGTCTGAGAATACCATGGATAGCTAAGAAAGCAAACAAATGAATCATCAAATGAATTAACTCAAAGTTTTCAAATAACCCGTCTCATATTGTTGTATTTTGGACACATTGTACACCACCAGGAGTTATGGTATATACGATGGGCAGTTAATCTTTCAAAGTAATAAATAAAGAGAAAACCTAGCTTTCTGAAGAAGTCTATAATGCTGGGAAAGCTGGAAGGAAAGGAAAAAGGACAATAAGCAGCAAAGTGGATGGGTTCACTTACAGAGGTGATAGATGAACTCTTGGAAGACCTGATGGATCAGTTTGGGGACATGGCTACTAAGAGCTGGCACTGACTTAAATGTCACATAATTAATTCCGTATTTTGCACTCTTGAAGAGATTTAATGTTCTTCTATGTGACATCTTCCTGTATTTGAAGAATGCTATCAGTCACCTTTTCTTGCTGTAAAACATATCCAGATCATTCAATCTTCCTCTATTAGACATACTTTTTGGTCTTATAATTATTCTCATTGCTCTTCTCTGAATCTATTCCACTTCTTATGAATCCTTCTAAAAGATTCATAAGACTCAGAACTTACGTAACACTCAACATTTAGTCTGATTCTAGCAGAATAAAGTGGATGTACTTACTGTGATTTGGAAATCATAATTCTGTTAATACATTTTGCAACCACTTCAGTTCATCTGGTCTTTAAATTCCATGTAAAGAGGTATTCCTGACTATGTGTTTATCAATCTCAAGATTCAATCCTGGTTCCTCATCCCATCTTTATAAATTTCAGATAAAACATACATTTATTTTGGTTGGAGAAGATGGAACCAAAAGTGGAATTTAGTAGTTCTGCCTTATCTTTGGCACTAGTTTGCATGTTGCCATTTTCACCGGGCAGCAGTTAGTGTGATTTTTTTTTTCAGTTCAGCCCCAAATACCTGTCTCTATACTTCCTCTGTAACCTGACTGCATGTGGCCTTTTCCTCTGTGTCCTTTTTGATTTTCAGATTCTCCCTCTGTTAACTACACTGGCTTTTGCTCTCATCCATTTTTCTCATCAGAACAGTGTGGAACTGTGCTTATACTATCTGCTTCTTTAGGAACCCCTACTCATTTTTATTTCCTTTTCCTATTAAGTTCTCCTGCCAGGAGACCTTATTTATGACTGCTATTTATAAATGCTGTTCTACAGCACTTTTCCCCTGACAAAAAGGTTTTTCCTCAAAATGTGTTGGAATCTAGTCTGAAGTATACATACACCATATTCGTTTCTTTTCCATCAGCAAGGCAAGTCAGGAATTTCCTGAAAGAATGATGCTTGAAAGAGCTTAGGCTCGTCTCTCCAAAAATGTCAGGGCAATTAAAAACTATAATTTTTAACTATAATTTCATGCCTCTTTGACAGATTCACTTTCTTTTGGAAGACATCATCTATATCTTCTGTTTGATTGGATGGGTGATAGACATTAGCAACAGTATTACTTTTTCTTTTGTTTTTTGTTTTGGTCCAGTAATTTTAGCTCAGCTCTCTATATCATTGCCAAGTACATTTATTTGGCTTTCTGAACAAGAATGGATATATTTAGTATATAGGGCAACTTCTCTTGCCTTTCTACTCTTTCAGTTAATTCATCTTTCAGTTAATATATTCTACTCCTGAAAGCATTACACCAGGTTTCTGTTACACCCATTAAATCATATTTTTCCCTTTTCCATTTCCCTTTCCAGCTCATCTTGATTATTTCCCATATTCTCAGTATTAATCTATAGATAATGAAAGCCATGAAGCTTATGAGCAAATTTTTTTCCCAACTTCTCTTTGGTGGTTTAAGAGGCCCCATTTCAGCAACACTCTATTTTTTACAGTGCACAACTCTTTACCTGAAGTCCTTACTTTAGCTTTTCTGTGAAATCCTTTCACAGACAGAATTTAATTTAAAACTCTCTTAATCAAACTTGCTATGTTTTGGCCAAATACACTTTTGTCATTTCTTCTGCCAGCAATCCATTATCTAGATAACTTAGACCATGATCTGCAAAACCAAATCTGCCCTGTTGACCTCATTTGCATAGCCAGTTATTAATTTATAGTAGTCTTCTTTTCATTTCCAGTCATCTTCCATGGACAAAAAGCGTAATAAAAATACTCCTCATCCTAGGCTTTTGATCTTGTCACATTCCATGGTGAAATGCTGGAGTTGTTCTTCATGGTATCATTTGTCCCAACATGTATTACTGGGAAGAAGCTGTCGATGGTTTTGATAAAATGTCAAAATTGGCCTGTCAAGTCTTTGATCCTTGACCCTGGCTGACAGCACACTTCCTGCTAGTGGTTTTGTAGGTCCATTTGATGTACAATTATTTCAGTTCTCTGTAGTATTGATTCACAATCTACTTTCACAAAATGCCTTTTTTTTTCTTAGCAGGCATACAGTAGTTGCATCTTCTCAGTCTTTGAGGGATCCAGCATATTAACTCCTGTTCTGTGATGCCTCTTCTTTTTCCTCTGTATGCTTCATCTACAAGGGCCTAAAAGCTGTTTCAAAGTTACAGGAGTACAGAGTATTGCTGTAGCTCTTGCTTTAGGTTATTATTCTCACCCTTCACAGTTAATTATTCTATCATCCTTACAGAAGGCTGCTTCCACTAGCAGGTTGTAGAGCTCCTTTTCTTTGAATGGATACACCTTTGATTTTGTCATCAGCTGCTGAGGACCAATTATTCTCTCCTCCAGTTCCCAGACTTTTTCCACGTGCTTGCATTTTCTTCAAATGTATGCCAAGTTGTTTCCAAACAGGAAGACAAACATGTCACACATTATGCAGGTCAGCACTGAAGAGTCTTATCTATTTGGCTTCATTTTTGCTTCTTAGACCCTTACCCGTTGAAAGTTTTTATTTCTTCTTGTTCCTTTCTCAAAGGGAACCTTAGCCAAAGTACAATTTTTATGTTAAGAATTAAATGTGAAATTCCTTTTAGCTTTCTCTACTCACTCTGTCAGTGAACTGGATGCTGTTATTTGGACCAATTTAGTAGCTATTTTTAAAACCTTTGCATAACTGAAAAAAAAAACCCAATTTGGATTATCTAAGAGTGTTCTTAGCATTTTATTCAATGTCAATACTTCTGTCTTACCATATTTTTAAGATTAAAGATTAACGTGTCTTAATCCTCTGGCCATGGTTGCCTTTGATGCTCCAGAATTGTTCAAAACTTTGAAGACAGGTTCCCATGCCATTATTCTAGAGAAGAGTTTTCCCATACCTGTAGATGGCTGCAGGGCCATCTTATATTGTTTGCTCATAACAAGAGAAGGAGCTTTTAAAACCAAAAATTAATCCCAGATTAGGTCCCTTAGGGAGAAACTATGCCTAGTGAATGAAATACATAAAGAATTCTCTGTCTTTTCTTCCCTATCCAGATACTGTTCCTTTTGCCTCAACTCCATCCAGTTGTGTTTCCATCATTCTCTTTCTTTCCCAATACAGAATAACAGAGTTGGAAGGGAAGCAGGAAACACTATACCATTTCAGACAAATGATATAAGTATATATAGTTGTATAGATAGTAGACACTGGTAACAATATATATAGTATATATAGCTATGTATACGTAGTATATATATTTAATGTTTACTCTCACCCTCTTTCCATCTTTTTTTTTATTCTAACTACTTCTGATGGAAAGGAGAGAAATGTGTGTAAGTACATTGTATTTCTGTGTGGGACAGAATGGATTGAAGAATTAACCTCGTAAATGAAGTACTAAATTTTACAAGCAATTGGTTTTCATTAATAATTATTAATTAATTTTGAATTTTGGATGGGAGATGGGCAAGGAATAAATCCTGTCCCATATATATACTCATATACTTTATATAGGTATAGGTGTGTGTGTGTGTGTGTTGTGTGTGTGTGTGTTTGTGCATGTACCCCCACAAACAAGTGCCTGCCACATGGCATACTGTTAGGAAACTGAGTGTTCTCTCCTGCAGGCTGTGTATTTTTAATGTTTTTTATTGTTTTTAATTATTTTGTTACTTTGTTGTTTGTTATTTTGTTGCGCTATTTTGTTTGTTTGTCTTTATATGATCCTCATTATCATATACATGTGATGGGGGATTATAAAAAATTAGCAATAAAAATCAATTAATCCCATGCACACATTTTTGGGGCAGTGGGGAAGGTAGATCTCTAAAACTAGATTTCATAGGCAAAAAATGGGAGAAACTGGATTTTTGTCTTGTGTCTGTCTGTTTGTGTACCTTTCTTTCTCTTATCTGTTCTTCCTGGAGTGGTGGGCAGGAGAGGGCGTGGATGCTTTAGATTCAGGATTATATTCCTTTAGGGTAATACTGGAAATTACCTTTCTAAAAAAAGTATATGGCACTGGGGTTACTGGAATTAATTACAATTTTCTCTTATTTCAGAGAATTGTTGGAATAATGAACTTGAACGCTCTCTGCTTGTGAACCAGAGGAAGACGGCTTTAAAGAATGTGAGATTAATTTAATTTAAAATGTGGTTAATATAGCAAATAAGTCTATTTCATGTACTGGATGCCTCAAAAAGTGATGAATAAGGACTGGAAGCAATCACCTTGCTGCTGGGAATATAATTTAGAAATTGAAAGATTAACTCACACATCTGCCCTATTATTGTCACATTTGGGCTTGAAATTCACAGAAAAGTTAACACGACTTTAAATTGATTAAACAGTCAAGTTCAAATCAATTTGCTAGTTAAGAGAGTGTATGTTCCATTTGGCTATATCTCCAGCATTTGGAATCAATCAACATAAAAATAAATGGATTTTTCCTGCAGCAAAGATGTCCAAAAATTACTATTACACAATACTAGAAGGACAAATCTACACCTGATTTGCACCAATCAATTCTCATCAACATATGATCAGCCAACACATGATTTATCTAACAAAAGACAAGGAAGTATACTTTCAGATAATCTATTCAAAATATTCGGGAGTTGTTTTGCCCATGAGATAGATTTCCAGTCTTTTTCTTTCCTTTTTTTTTTTTTAGGAGGGAAGTGATAAAATGATATTATTTTATTACCTCTGTTTGTAATTTTCTTTTTTTAAAAAATAGGGCAATGCTATTTTAAAAAGAAGATGCATTTTTCCCAATAATGGAGCTCAGAAAAGTAGCCACACTAATCTACTGCAGCAAAGGCAACTGAGAATCTCACGACAGATCAAAGATATTTATGGGGGCAAAGGTTTTCCTGGGCTAAAGCCCATTTTATCAATTAAAAGGCATATTTTCTAAGCTGTATGTTTTCATGATTTATAAGTGTTTCAAAATTATTTAGGAACTGTTTTATGATATCAAACATAAAACATAGCATTAAAAGATTTGTAGGCTGTGAACTGTAGAAAAGGAATAATCACACAATATAATAATCCTATATTCTTGCAGGATGTAGTACCCAATCCACCACTGAGCCTTCTATTCTGTTCACCAAATAAGTCTTGGATTTGACGTAGGCTTTCCCTTTCTCTTTCAAAGGATACACTTTAGAAATTCCCAAAGGAGTTTCCTTGGTAAGGCTATGAAGTAAAAACCTAGACACGTTGAAGAGTGTTTCGGGTAAGTAGTGATTGAAGGGTTCTTCCTGCAGTGGAAAAATAAAAGTGTATTTCCAGATTTCTACCTTACACACTGAGGTGCAGCAATATCGAGGTAAGAACAGATGATCATAAAGCACACAGAAGAAGTTAGCCATACCGACAATCCCACACCAATCTCCCCATGACAGCAGGCAAGCAAATACGACATCAGTTAATTAACTCGGGAAAGCTTGAGGGTCAAAGAGTGAATTGTAACTATGTAAATATCTTACAGTGCATTTGTGGATGAAGTGATAGGCGTGATAAAGTTCTGCCAAGTGCTGGAAGTGGTGAAACTTCTTTAACATTTCAGTCTTCCTCTCCTCATTGTCTGAAGGAGGAAAAGGCAATATCAGCAGAAAACCTCTGAACAGTTGCCAACCCAATAATGAAAGACTTATGCTGAAAGAACCTTGTATTAATGCTCCTAAACAAATATGCCTCCAACCATAGCTTTTGTAGTTAACTTTACATGAGATATTGTATTTTAAAACAGGAAAATCGAGGCGCAAGTGGCACTGAAACATCATTTGAACATAGCTGGGTGCTATGGCTAACTATGGAATACATTTGCCTTCTAGTTCTAGAAAATCAAACTACAGACGTTACAAGCAAAAAGAACCAGCATCTTCCAACTCAACATTTGGATTTAAACAGCATTTTGGAATTATCTGCTGTTCTCTAGGACAGGGCTTTCAAACCGGTAGTACACATACTACGGGTGGTAATTTGGCACCTGGCCGGTGGTACGTGACTGTCCTAGACAAGTGTAGCGGGGGAGGACAATGAGCTGAAGCGGTGGCAAAACTGCCCAAGCCTGAGGGAGAGACACCCGGAGCTGCAGGGCTGTCAGTGCTCGGCAGAAGCCCAGGATTGCAGCACGCAGCTACAGCTGATCGATGCTTCTGCAGGGCTATGGGGGCTGGGCAGAAGCCCAGGATCGCAGTGCACTTCTGCAGGGTTGTAGGGGCGAGACAGAAGGCCCAGGATCAGCGCTTCTGGTGCACACGGAAGAGAAAAGGAGGGGGCAAGAGAGGAGAGGCTATAAAAGGAGGTTTTGGCGGGAGAGGGAGAAGAAAAAAAAACAATGGGGGGAAGAGAAGGGGACTGCAAAAGAGAGATGGAGAAGCACAGCCTTGAGAAGAATCAACTGGAGGTGCACGGAAGAGAAAAGAGGGGGAGAGGAGAGGCTATAAAAGAAGGGAACAGAAGAAAGGATATAAAAGAAGGGAAAAGAGGATATAAAAGAATGGAAAAGAAGAGAGGATATAAAAGAAGAGGACAGAAGAGAGGATATAAAATAAGGGGAGAAAAGAGGATATAAAAGAAGGGGAGAAAAGAGGATATAAAAGGGGAGAGAAAAAAGGATATAAAAGAAGGAAAGAGAAGAGAGGATATAAAAGAATGGAAGAGAAGAGAGGATATAAAAGAAGGGGAGAGAAGTGAGGATATAAAAGGAGGAGTGAATTTGGTTTCTCCATTGACTTTGTTTGTCAGAAGGTTGCAAAAGGGGATCACATGATCCTGGGACACTGTGACCATCATAAATATGAATCAGTTGCCAAGCATCCAAATGTAGATTGACCCTGGGGATGCTGCAACGGTCATAAGTGTGAAACATGGCCATAAGTCACTTTTTTTCAGTGCCCTTGTAACTTTGAACAGTCACTAAGCGAACTGTTGTAAGTTAAGGACTAGCTATACTTTATCACTTTTTCCCCTTTTTTGGGTCATCAAAATTTTGACACCTTGCTAGGCGACTGGTGGTACTCAAATATTGCCATATCCTAAAAGTGGTACAATCTGTGAAAAGGTTGAAAAGCCCTGCTCTAGCACACTGGTACAAATGTTTACTTAAAAGCTAATCCTACTGAGTTCAGAGGGAGATATTTCTAGTTAACTGAACAGAAGAACAGCTGTAATCTTAGCTCGGTGTACTAGAGACTACTGATCTGTATCTTATGCGTACTTGCAAAATAAAGAAATGTTTGCATAGTGTCACATAATAAAAGACACTCTACTTCAATCTACCATGTTATAATGGTAAAAATTTACTTGGACCTAATTTTATACTAAAGTTCAGCCACAGGTTAGTAAAGAGATAAGGGACAAATTATTTTCTTCTGGCTCAGGCCCAATTTTGCGATATAGAACCTATTGAAATGATTACTGTTTCTTTCAGAAAACTGTTAGATGAATAAGGAAAGATAATGTCTCACATGAGCTTGTGTCACCTGTGGAAGGACAGAAAATGTGGGAAAACAGTGGGTTCTATGTTGATCAGCTATTCTCAACCTCATATGAAAAAATAAAATTATAATACATATAATCTAAAAACTGAACTGATACGAATCTCTCCCAATATCCCCCACCCCACCCCAGAGGTCCTACATAGTGTAATTCACAAAGAACATTCATTGAAGTCCTCAAGAGTACGTCAGACATTGTATTTTCATGTGCGAATAGACAGAAAGTAAACTTGCTAGCATTTCCTTACCTTGAGCTATATCTAAACACTGCATGGACAACATCCAGTAATAATATCCTGCATCATTGAATCGGCTTTCTACCACAGCATTGTGAGTTAATTGTTCCAACACTTTAACAGCTTCAGTCTGTCTGCCAGCTTTATGGAATGCTACAAAGGGGAGTCAAAATAAAGAAAACTGTGATTAAGCTAATGAGCTTGACTAAAATTAAGAAAAAGCACCAAATCTAAACATCAACAACAAAGCATCCAAAAGGATTATGTTCTTCTGTTTTTCTACACTCTGCAAGGAAATTTAATATAGTCCTACATATATTTTTAAACAGAACTCTTGTGGATTATATGATACCCCAAACTTCCTAAATGCATAATCTATCAGGCAAAGAAGCTGCACAATTTCTAGTCACTTGCAAGGTTCTCTTCCTGGTTCCCAATACCTATCACTGAAACAAATGAAGGGTGAATATCAGTATGAATTGTACTTGCTATTACGGTAATAGTGAAAGCCAGGACAACAACGGTTGGATATTTCAAGCTAAGTGGATAATAAAATCAGTATTAATGTCTTCTCACAAAGGAGTATTATAGGTAATCTGTGAAATCTAAAGTGACCTTGGTGTGAAAAAGGGCACACATTTAAGTTTATTTTGTACTGACTTCACAACTAAAACCAAATTAATGATCTATTGGGTGTCCCTGGCAATTACAGAATGGCAGACTGTTTCACAGCTTTCCAGCAAAAAGAATAAAAATTAGGTCTGATCCTTTCACCAATATAAACCCAGGAATTTAGGACACACACCATTCCACACCAGCAGCTACTTATTTTCCCTTAAACATTATGCCTTATATTCACAGTCAAACTGCTACAAAAATAACAGTCCCTTTGCAATTTAAACTCTATCCCAGTATCCCATACAATTGCAGATAGTTTTATGAGCTGTAGGATTGCTTTCATGGCCCTTAGGATGACAGTCTATGAATTAGCAGCAAAGTGCTATACAGTCACAGCATTTCCACACAAAATTATCAGAAAACTAAATAAAATGCACTAGCCCTTTGATGTAAGTTCAGAGAACCTTAAACTGAAAAACAAAACAAAAATCTCTTTTAAAAGAGAGAAAACCATGCAATTTTCAAATCCTAATTAGATCTCTCAAGTTCTTCCAAATGCATATGGCATGTTTATAAGAAATACATCCAATGTATATCACACAGAAATAGCTGCTCTATAAACTACATAAAATGGGACTCTGAAATGTATCTCAGAAAATATTAAAGCTATTCCCAAGTACGCTAGTCTCTTGATAAGCTAGAATATGAATATTTATATTTACAATACCCTTTAATCATAAAAAGTATGAGCACTGACTTTAGTTCATTTAATAAGAGGTACCATGCTATGTGAATGCATAGAAACACTTTGCTAGATATAAATGTAGTATTGTAATAAATTATTTTAAACAAATTGTTTTTAACTAATTTCTTAAAAGAACTTAAAATCTTCTCCATAAATATTAATATATCATTTAGATCATTTAGATCACGGGTGTCTTGTGACATATTGTGATGTATTGCAATGTTTTTTGCCTTTGCGGAGCTGGGATGGGCGTGGCCTAGGCATGACACATCCAGCCCATGGGCTGCCAGTTTGACACCTCTGATTTAGATGATTTGTCTTTTAATTAAAATGTTAAATCAGTCATCAACAGACACAGAAATAAACCACATTTACATACTATTCAAAAGACACAATAAAAAAAATCTAGGAAAGAAACAAAACAAGAACACATCCCCATCAGTATCGAACACTCAGATAAGCAGGGATCAGGCAGAAAACAATATCTTAAGCAAATTACCACCACAGGGAAAACTACACACCCACCAAAACTACTTTATATAAATTGATAGCAAATCCCACATTCACTCATACTGATTATATTACCCGGTTGGGCAATGAAACTTCTGCAAGCAAACAATCAAGTCAGAGAGTAAATTAAACATTTTATTTATTTTTATTTATCAAATTTCTATACCACCCATCTCACCTAAATGACTGTCAGTTCAACTCTGAGCTATAGATATGCTCTTCTATTGAAATCAAATATTAATATATCTCCCACATAAATATTGTGCTTGTTTTTAATTTCAGGAAAGTATCTAATAAACTTTGATTATACCAACTTAATAATAGTAGTATTGACAGTAGCAGTAGCAATATAGTCTTACCTTTTTGAGCCTCTTCAAATCTATCATTTTCTGCCAGCCACCGAGCATACGGAACATAGACATCATCTTTAAATTCAAGGTGCTTTTCACACAAAGCAAAAGCCTGAAGTATAGAATAGGTTCATGCTTAGGAAAATAATTACAGTCTAAAAATGGAACTGAATATTATTGTTTTCAAGTTCAAAGATTTCAGGATTTATTTGTAGCCCTGAAAAGCTACAAAAGCTTGGCATCTAACATACTGATGTCACAGCTCACTAGGTTACCTATATCATTTACAATTAAATAAATTGTCAGATGGCAAATTTCTCAGGCAACTGGTTGATTTATTCTTAAAGCAGTGGTTCTCAACCTGTGGGTCGGGACCCCATTTGGGGTCCAATGACCATTTCACGGGGGTCGCCAAACCACGCTGTCCGCCATTTTTTCCCTTTTTCCTAGCTGTCCTACTCCCTCTTATTGGTGGCCACATCCACTTGGGGGTCACCACAACATGTGGAACTGTATTATGGGGTCATGGCATTAGAAAGGTTGAGAACCACTGTCTTAAAGCATCATTATTACAAAATGGATCTTAATTGTGCTACTGCATATGCTGATGGCGAATTGATTCTTTGATTGCTGATCCTTATATAATCCAATGGCTAACCTCTCCATGTAAAGAAGAAGAGTTATCAACAGACTGACAATACAAAACAAAACAAAACAATCTCCCTAAAAAAAAAAATCCCTAAGGGAGCCCAACAAAAAATGAGGACTGTGACCAGTTTGTTCTGTGTAGCACTTTTATGCTGCCTATGACAGGTAGACTAATTCCCATCTCCTGTCATTCCTGCCAGCTTCTCTTTGCAAATACAGGTATTCCTTAAGTTACAACTATGTGTGCAGTGACTGTTCAAATTTATGGTGGCACCCAAACATAGGAACTTACAAGTGGTCCCTGAAGTTAGGGTCATTGCAGCACCCTCAGGGTCACTTGATCAAAATTTGGGCACTTGGCAGCCTGCCCATATTTATGACTGCAGGGGCACTTCAACTCCCCCGACCTTGCCTATCTCTCCCCCAACTCTGCACTTTGGGCCACTGCTGCCTAGCTGACCTTCACCGTCTTCTTGCTCTCACTGCTAAGGATTGCCTGCCCTGGTCCTTTTCAAGGAAGCTGCTGGCCCCAGAAAGCTTTCTTCTCAAGGTCAGGCATAGATATTTCCTGGCAACACCTGGGGAAGATATCCTCGTGTGACCGGATCTGCCTTGCAGGTACACTTCATCAGCACCAAGTGCAAGAAGACCGCAAAGGGCAACTAGGGCACTGGAGTGCAGGGCAGCAGTGACGAGGGCAAGTGTGTGGCTGGGACTGAATGGGGGCAGCTAAGGCTTCCAGGGGTGATTGTAGTTTTGGTCTTGCTGCTGTGGAAGGTGGGGTTTCTTGGGGCAATTGGCTTTGGGCTGCATGCTGAGGCAACTGGGGCACTGCATCTTCACACTGCACTGTGATTCACGGGCTTCTTGCAGCTCCAGATTTCTGGTGAACCAAGAAGCTCCCAAGCCAGGATGCAGGGCAATCAAAAAGGCTGAGATAAGGGAGATAGGTAGGAGGAAGTTGAAGAGGAGGCAGTCCCTTCCCTTATAGAGGTTCAAGGCTGGGAGGAACTGAGTCCAGAATGGCTTGGATTGGGGTGGGTTCTTGGTTAACAACTGTCAGAATTCAGATAATAGTGGCAACATGAAGTGCTGTTGCAAAGTGATATGGTCACATGTCTTCGTGTTTTACGACTCCATCACTTAGCATTGGAAATTTTGACCCCAATTACTATTGTAAGTCAAGAATTACCTGTATGCAAGTCTTTTTGGCAAGAAGATAAATAGGTACTGACAACCAGTGGTGGGATTCAGCCAGTTCGCACCACTTCGGCAGAACTGGTAGCTAATTTTTTGTTGCCCAGGCCCAGAATGGACTTCCAGAAGCAGAATCTACACAGAGAACCGGTTGTTCACATATTTGAATCCCACCACTGCTGACAACTGCCATTTTTTCTGTTTATATGTACTGCTACCCATCAACCAGTATAGAATAAGTCCCTGCAGATTTTTTGGCAAGAGGTGTTTGACACCACCTGCTGCCTAGGGCTGTGATTGGTCCAAGGTCACCCAGCTTTGAAGCTAAGGAAGGACTAGAACTGATGGGGTCCCGGTTCCTTGCCTGGTGCTTCCAACTACTATACCAAACTGGCTCCCTTATTGGATTAGCATAGCTTATTTCAATATAAACATTTAGTAGATCAGATTTCTGGTACAGGATTTTATTAACTTTTACGACTGGTTACCTTGCTTCCACTTCTCTTCTGTCTAGCAATATAGTAATAGTTTTATTTGGCATGCACTTATCTTTCCTTCAATAAATATTTATTTACAATTAGGTTGCTTTGTTAATGTATGATTTCATCATCTAAAAGATTTTCTATCCTGATGCTTAATATGACTTGGAAATGTTTTACTTTGTTTAGTTAATTCTACCTAAAGGAAGATGCATGGAAGTAGATTGCCCTTTCACTTGCAGGATATTTAGTATCTTGAGTCTAGGAAACATCTTCATTTCATATTTAAAGAGAGGGGATGTTAGCTACCCTATTTTAGTATTTTAAATGAACTCCAATAAATATTGTGTATCTCTTGACGAAACAGGATAGAAAATCAGAAGGATGAGAACAGACTGGAGCAATTTGTATGAGAGCATGCAGATTGGCCAGAATCCTGAACAAGGGTTCTGCAGTGAAGAATCTGTCTGCAAATTGAAGCGTGTTAAAATGCATGCAGAATTTAAATAAAAGGGGAATTTTGTTCATACAATGTAAAGATTTAAGGCTACATAGGCATCAGAATCCCTTAGAGTGAGCTGCATTTACCTCATCCCACTGTTGAGTTTCCACATAGAGCTGTGTCAAGGCCTTCAGATCACCAATCTTCATATAGGTTTCTGCAGCATACCCAGGGTTCAATAACTTTTTAAAATAATAGGCACACTTCGTCAAAGGTTCTCGTTCTGCTTTATCCAGCTTTCGAGCAATATCAATCAATCTTAATTTTTAAAAAAGAAGAAGAAATCTAGCCCCGTTATTGTCTATAAGTCTTCCTAATTCTTACTATACACATGCACTTATGTGCAAACACACACATACACACACATAGACACACACACACATAAACAAACACGCAGGATGCTGCCAGAGATGCAAGCAAACAGCTGAACAGTGCTGTTTACATTTATACTCCAGCAGTTTTTTGCCAAACCACAAACCTGGAACTGCTGCAGGACAAAAGCTCTTAACTAAATAAATTCACATTCTAACGTCTGTAGCAGAGACCCCTTTATTTAGATTCCATAATTTGCAGGCTCAGTGAAGCCTCTGCACTTTTTTAAAGGACTCTATGGACTCTTACTAAATTCTGAAGACCTGCATCTTATAGTCAAAGTACGCCACGTTTTCCAAAATGTGTTCTGAAGCCTCTGAAATCAACATTAAGCAACTCGGCAGTTTTATCTGTTGAATAAATGATACTCTACAACTATGTCTGACCTTGAATAGTATAATCTGTATCTAAGATTGCAACTGCTATGTGATGTTTCTGAAAAGCTCTACTTGCTTGTCCTAGGCATCAGCTGCGCAAATGCTGAGAGCAACTCTGAACTTAGGCTTTTGGAAAAGAAGCATGTTAACTAAACAAACAAAAGAATGTGCTGAAGGAGACATTGTAAGCATTTCAATCACATCAAGATACAGGCTTTTGCAGGAGAGCTGGGATAGCCAAAAATCAGGATTTTAGATTTTCTTTATTTCCATAAATTTACTTTTATTATTTTATTTTATTTATATATATTATAAACAAAGTAATTAATTTATGGGGTCTAGTAGCAGTTTTTCAGACTACAGTACATTTTATTGACAGGCATAGGTTTTTCTGAGCTGTAACATTTCATCAGACGCGAGTGGCTATAGACTTGAGTGGGCAGAAGAGAAGAAAAACAAGGGGGTTATGCAGATGTGAAACAGATTCCAAGTAACCTGATCAATTAACAACTGTAATATCTTTTCAAAACTATTCTGAGAAGCCTGTGAGGGTGTATACATGAAAGTCAAGTGGACACCTGGGTTTGTTGCAGGGTTTGATTTCCCATGTTAGCATCATTGTCCTGTTGTTTCTCATTGCTTGTGAGAATGTACTTCAGGTTGGGTGGTTCCCTTTTTGAAAACACAGGCCTGCCACTCCATGCATGAGAAAATGTAAATATCACTGTCCAGTATGGGTTATAGCACATCAATAATGTGTTTGAGTGGTTTGAGCTATGAGCTGTAGGTGAAATGTAGCGGTGACAAGTAGTATTGTTATTATTGTGTCTTTTAATAGCCTTTCCTCCCCGGGAATCAAGTTCCTCTTCTGATTTGTCTAATGATCTAGTTGAGTGGGTAGTTCAATTTCCTCAGTTCCTGGCTTAATTCCATCAGTTGACTATCTTTGTCAAGTGCATCAGAACAAAGCAACTGTTGCACAGAGCAGTTGTGGATGACAGGCTTGATTATGTATTCAGAGTGGAAACGGAAAGCATGGAGATGTGCCTTGTGAGATGCAATTTCCCGTATAACAATGTGTTATAACATTTGTGTTTTATTACGTGGTTTTGCACTGTATCAAGAAGGTGAACCTACTCTGTAGATAGTTCAAGGCTAAGGTTGATGATGAGGCAAAGTTGTCACAGTCATGATAGAGTTTGATGAATGATTGGTGAAAATGTCATCAATGAATCTCAACTGAAGAAAAGGGTTGCAGGGGGGGAGGGGGGAAGGGCAGGGGGAGGGGTAAGAGTTGAGAAAGCATTGTCCCAGGTCAGCTATCACAGCTGCAACTGGCCCCAACAACTACACACAGAAGATTAGAGGTGTCTTCATCTGCCAGCAGTGCCCCTCTAGTTTCTACATAGGACAAACAGAACAATCTTTGCACAAAATAATTAACACCAGGACTCAAAATAAGAACAAAGTAATACTGAAGCATTTCAACCTCCCAGGGCGCTTCATTATAGATCTCAAGGTAGCTATTTTAGAAAAAAGAAAGCTTTAATAGCCCAACTGAGCAAGAAATTGCTAAACTCATATACATCAAAAGGTTTCAGATGTTTCAGAAGATCTCAACAAGCATAATGGCTTTACAATTGCTAATTGATACTTGTAATCTGTTTCACATGTAGCTTGCAACTGCACAACCATCTTGTCTTCTCTTTCCTCCACTTGCCATTGAAATGTAATTCCTGTATCAATCTATAGCCATCTCATTGCATCTGATGAAGTAAGTTGTAGCTCACAAAATTTCATGCCTTTTAATAAATTTTGCTTGTCTGAAAAGTCTCTTCCTCAAATCAGGATATGGGGCAGTTATTTCAATAGTTTTATATTGAATTAAGATCACATGAAGTATTAATACCACTTTACAATGCCTTGATAAGGCCACACTTGGAATATTGCATCCAGTTTTGGTCACCACGATGTAAAAAAGATGTTGAGACTCTACAAAGAGTACAGAGAAGAGCAACAAAGATGGTTAGGGGACTGGAGGCTAAAGCATATAAGGAAAGGCTGCTGGAATTGGGTATGTCTAGTTTAATGAAGAGAAGGACAAGGGGGGACATGATGGCAGTGTTCCAATATCTCAGGGGCTGCCACAAAGAAGAGGGAGTCAAGCTATTTTCCAAAGCACCTGAAGGCAGGACAAGAAGCAACGGGTGGAAACTAATCAAGGAGAGAAGCAACTAGAACTAAGGAGAAACTTCCTGACAGTTAGAACAATTAACCAATGGAACAACCTGCCTCCAGAAGCGGTGAATGCTCCAACACTGGAAGTTTTTAAGAAAAGACTGGACAGCCATTTGTCTGAAATGGTATAGGGTTTCCTGCCTGAGCAAGGGGGTTGGACTAGATGACCTCCAAGATCCCTTCCAACTTTATTATTATTATTATTGATCATCGCACAGTCAGCCAGATGTTCAGACTGGATTTGGCATTTTGTCTACCTATCGAGTCCTTACCCAGGACCTGGGATAGGCAGATGTGAATGTTTGATGGTATTATTATTATTATTATTATTATTATTATTATTATTATTATTATTATTAAATTTGTATAGCATGTAACACATTTGGCCGAGTTCTAATTCTAGCATTACTGAACTTTTTCACAAAGACTAAAGTAGGAGTCTCTACCATAGTTCTCCCCTCCCTCAGTATAAAGTACTATACCTATACATTATAATCAGAGGAAACGGTGGAAACAAATAGCAATATTTCCCTTGAAAACATAATAGCGTATTTTTGGGAAAGACAGCAAGACATACACATCAACCCAGCCTTGATCTCCGCTGATTTCTATGGCCTTCAAATGCTCCCCTGCAGTCATGTACATCTCTACTGCTGCTTTTGGTTCATTGATGTTCTTGGCCCAGTCTGCTTGCTTTGTGATTAGCATCTTTGTATCTTTGGGGTCCCCAGACCCAAGGAATTCCTGAGGAAGTAAATGAAATGATATTTTTAATTAAGCATTTGCCTCAATTAGCAGTTGCGACTCAGTTTCAACTGGGGGGGGGGTTAACTAAACTGGAATTTAAGGGCAAACAAGAAAAGCTGAAATGTCTACATCATTTGATTACGGTAGATTTAATCATGACTTTTATCACAAAGAAAGCGGGTGGAGGGGGAACCTTTCAAAGTTGAGACAGGAAAAAAAATCATGTATAGAAAAAGCAGAATTTCATTTTGATGCTTGAGGGGAAAATTGCAAATGAAACATCAGTTTTTGATTGCTCTCAGTAATTTGCCAAAGATGACTTTTCTGAATAAAGTTAAGTCTTAGTGATATTATTCTTTAAAATGCTCACTCTCACAATATGCCCATAGATTTATCATGAATCTGAATAAAAACATGTTGTGTACTTAACAGTATACTCAACACAACTTATGGAAAGAATTAGCAAACTAGGAATGGTGGAATGCTGTATCTGACCCATGAATTTCAGGGTAACGTAATGTTTTACTGAAGCTCTTTTAACAGTGATTCTGAAGAGGACTGGACTGTGAGGAGGAATATTTTTTTCTCAAAAGGTCTTAGCTCAAAAACAGAGCATGCTAAAGTCTCAAAAGCAGTCTCTGCCATAATCAGGGATGCTAAAACACTGGAAAGAACCCTGTGACTTAACCATGTATGATCCTTGGAACACCTCTGATCCAAGTATTTCTAGAAATGTTTTTGGAAAAAATGACTTTTGCTTAGAAAATCTGATGTTCTGAGTGGTCCACTCAAAAAGCGCATTTGCCTTTCTTTGACTGTCAGGAAGCTAAATCAAGAAATGAAACACAATATTTACTTGAATAATTGGAGTTGGTTGAATTATAAGGAAACATGTCAATTTCATGGATTGCAATTATTTGTGAGTTGAAAATAACATGTGATTAATATTGCTAAATAAACTAAAGTCACATATATATGTAGTTTCTCGAGCCGTATTCAGATTAAAGGATATCCCACTATCAGGAGCCTAAGACTAGATGGCCTAATAATAAATAAAAATTTGAAAGAACAGGTAAACTTTGATACAATTATCCAGTGGTAATTGTAAATTGACACAAAAATAAAAATTAAGCACTCATTATATACAAATATATATATTAAGTCTGCAGAATGAAAAAGAATGGTCAAACTGTTGAACTGTATTTTTCCTTAATAATAAATAGTATCTCCAATTCACTACTCAGTTATGCAAATAAAGTTTCCATATAGGAACTAATAATACGTAAAATGTATCATTAGTTCCTATATGGAAACTTTATTTGCAATACCATCCAAAATATTTCATTTTACATCCTAAACATATCTATCACAAGTTCTCTGAGCTGAAGGAAGCTTACCCATGTGTGGAAAATTTTGCTGGACATTAGAAATGCTGACATTCATATATTAGCATAATGGCAGATTTCTAGTTCATGAGTTAAATTTATGTATCACCATACACAGACCTGCCAATTTTAAGCCAAATATTTAAGAGGAACTTGTAAGAAGTGCGTATTAGTCCAATATATAAATGCAATTTACATTTCAAATGAGAGTTTTCTTTTCCCTTAAGAACAAAATTCAATAATCTATGTGTGTACATGGAAATGCTTTATTCAATAATGGATAAGCTTAATCTTTAATGAGTGATTAGTGATACTATCCAGCGGACAGCTTTTTTACTTATTCTGATAAGGAAAATATCATGGAAAACTTCCAAAGTCCCCTCATCCGCACATAAAACTGTCACAATTTTCAAATACCATACAATTTTATTGGTCCCTGGGAATTCAGTTTTCAGACATACATAAAAACAACTTCAGGTCTTATTTACAGGAAACAAAAATCATTGCAGAGACTGTTAATTCAAAGTTGCTATTGCAAAACTATGTGAGATACATTAGGATTTCTGGTATACTCTTGTATGTTTAACTACACTTTTGTGTAGTAATGCAAATGTTTTCATCAATACTTTGAATGCTTTCCTCACGTTTTTTCAACCAAAAGTTTTCTGTCTGTCTGTCTATCTATTCCATTTATATATATATGTTCTATATGAAAAAGGATACATATCTGATCCCGTCTTTTTTTTAAAATGCAATACTTTTAACTGCCCTGGAGATTTTACTGAAATGGGGAAAATGAAGGATAATTCCACTCTGGTTTAGGTATACTTCAGGAAAAGCAAATACAGTCAGTTTATTTAAGTCTGTTGCATGCATACAGTTGCATGCAAATCTAGGACATTCTTCACTTAACTATACAGAACACACTGCATATGAAATAAAAATGTCTGTTTAGTATAAACCTCAATGCAGAGGACCACAGAGGAATTCCTGTTTGTACTGTATTTTTAGTTAGGCTCATAGTGCTCTAGATTGTTGCACTTTGAAGTACTAGTTTACAAAGTCCAACAGATTTAAGAATCATGATTTGTGACAAATCTTGTTTATGCATACCAAGATAAGATGAAAGTGAAAAAAATCTTAGGCAATGCAGAGATTTTTTTTTTCTTATCTGCTTCATGAGACTTTTGAGAGCTGTGGTTATGATAACTTATATGGAAGGCTTCAGGATGGATAGGCTTGGGTTATAGTATCCTAAATGGACAAAATATACCCATTGCCTTGAAAAAAGCAATTGTGTGAGGTATAGGTTTGGTATAGTAAGTAAGGCAACAAACTAGAAACCAGGAGACTATGAGTTCTAGTCCTGCTGTAGACCCAAGCCAGGTAGGTGATCTTGGGCCGGCCACATTCTCTCAGCCCTAGGAAAGTGGCAATGACAAACTACTTCTGAAATACCTTGCCAAGAAAACTGCAGCAACTTGTTTGGCAGTCTCTGAGAATTGGACACGATTGAACGGAAGAAAAAAACAGAGGGAACATAACAGCATTTCAAGTCTCACTTTTTTCTTAAATTCCTGGTTGTAAAATAAACATTCCCTTAAAATAATAAAATTTAGCCTTCATATATAATAATTAAAAGACATATATATGACTGAACCCTTTAGGAGGAAAAAGCTGTGTGCCTTTGGTGAAAATGTGTGCTACATAATTCTTTATAATTCCCTTTCAAATGCACCAAAATTATTAATTAAAGGTCTTGGCAGCAAAAATAAAAGAGTGGGAGTCCTAGCCTCATCCTGCCTAAGGAAAAACCTTATTAAACCGAAGTTTAAAATGACAATACTGCTCTGACATGTGTGGTCCTAGGAAATAGACTGTAACACTGTTCTTACACTCATGCTATAACATAAGGCAAATGTTACATGATGCGTAAGAAACAATAACAGCATCAAATTGATCCTTAGGGGTAATGTTATTCCTTGAGATTTCTGAATAGGCATAAAAGAGGATGTGTGCAATGGAACTGAACAGTTTGATTCTTGGACACCAAGTCCAAGGAAGAATAAACATCCCAGGAAAAAAAACGTACACATACCTTTGCATACTCAAACATGCGCAAGTCTGTATACATATCAAGTGCTAGGTTTTCATGGCTACTTCTTTTGTACAATTTGGCTGCCTCATGGACCTTTCCTTGGTATGCATAAATCTCTGCTAGGAACAGGTCATTGTTGTTCTCACCACGCTTCTTCCTTTCCTTAAAAAAATAAAACAGGAAAGAACAAAAATAGTTTAGTGAACATAATCAGGCAGGAAACATGACAGGCTAGAACATCTGAAAATATTAAGCTATGTTTCACAAAGCTTTTAAACTGATTACTTGCATATAAACCAATGTAGACCTTTTGACATGAACAGCACTGCTTGAAAGCTTTTCATATTGAGTCTTCCAGCTCTTTTCACCTATCCGTAACATTCCAGAAAAACTCATAAAACACCCCACTATGAAAATAAGGAAAATGCTGGAGCTTCCGGTACGAGGCGACGGCGATGGCGGCTATCTTTTAGCCGTCCAGCTGGGGAAGTGTCAGAGCCGCGGAGCACAGCGCGCATCAGCTGGCCCGCGGCTCGGAATTCCCTTCCCGGGCAAAGGGAAGGGACAGAGAACGCAGGAATAGAGGTAGAACCCCTAAACCCCCTCTGGATTTATTTCTAGAGGGGGTGAAAGGAGTGTTCCCTCGGAGCTCCTGCTGATCTCCGCCTCCCAGCTGTTTTTGCTTCCTAGGAAGCAAAAGAAACCGCCGCTTCTATCTCCGTGCTTATAGTATTTTGGTGAGTAATTTTTAAACGGACGGAGCAGTTTAAAGGATTTTTGTTATATACTTTAGGTGTTTATTTTTTTTATTATTTGATTTTTACTATTTTTCCTCCTTTTCTTTGTTATATTAGTGAAAGGATTTAAGATGGCGTTTTGAAAGTGTCGGAGTTTTTTTTTCCTTTCCCTTTTGTTTTACTTTCCCTTTTTAAGGACTGGCTTTTGCTTTTGCTTTTGGCTTAGAATTTTTTCTTTTGAATTGTTTGCTCTTTTATCTTTTATTCTTTGGATTTTCTCTGGATTTTCAAGGACTATAGTTTGTCTCTTTTTAAATTCTTTTTCTTTTTCTTTCCTCCTCCCTTCTTGTGTGGAGGGGAAAGGGAAGTGAGAACTGCGCTTTTTAAAATGGCTTCAAAGAGACAGCAGCCTGCTTCAATACCTAAGGTTGTTTCTTCTCCTATAACTTCCACTGCACAATTACAACAACAATCTAAACATGTACCACCGGCTCAGCCACCACCCTCCCCCCCTCTGCCTGGACTTTCAGCACAAGAGGTCAGAGGCATAATGGGAGAGATTGTAGTTCAAATGAGAGAGGAAATGAAGCAATTTGCCTCACAGATTAAATCAGAAATTAAATCTGATCTTAAAGAAGAGATAACGGGGATAAAGACTAAATTGCAAGAAAATAATAATGATTTACGACAAGATATACTTGCAGCAGTTTCAGGCTTGGCTACTGTGGTGGTTAAGCTCGATGCAAGGCTTGAGGAAGTGGAAAACAAAGTTGATTCCTTTGATGATAAAATTCAAGATGTGGAAAGGAAGGTGGAGTCCTCACAAGAAGATATTTTGATGTTTCAGTACAGACAGATGGAGTATGCCCTGAGGATTAGAGGCCTCAAGGAAGATATGAATCAAGATTTGGTGGAGGTGGTCCTTACTGATCTGGCAGTGGCCTTGGATATGGATAAAGGAGAATTACATAGAGAAGTGGAAAAAATTTATAGACTTAACTCCTGGATTGCTAAGCAGAAGAATTTGCCTAGAGATGTGGTGATTTATTTTACAAAGAAGTCCCTGCGGAATGAGATTATACAAGCCTTTTACAACAAAAGATTTCAGATTGCTGCCCAAGATGTTATCATTCTAAAGGAAATCCCATCCAAAATTTTAAGAAGCAGGAAAGACTTTGCTTTTTTAACCAATGAGCTTAAAGCTAGATTGATGCCATTTAGATGGGAAATTCCGATGGGTATTGTTTTGAGCCATGCGGGGACACGCTACAGATTGAATACAGTTGACAAAGCTAGAGAGTTTTATACTTCGGTCCTGGGTGCAGGCTCAACTCCATCTGGTCAGAAATCTCCGAGTGGAGATTTTACTTAAAGATCAGAAATATTTAGTCAATGCTCGTTTGGGATCTCATTTTATATCTTCTGCTCCTGGGAAGAAAGGGGGAGTTGTTATATATGTTAAACAAAACCTACCAGCTTGTCTGGTAGAATCAGATCCCCAGGGGAGATATGTGATGATTGAACTTGGTATATATGGTAAGAAAGTACTTATAGTGGGACTTTATGCTCCAAATCAACAACAGGAACAATTTTATAAGCAGTTACATCAAAAAATAACATTGCTTGATTATAGATCAGTGGTATTAATGGGTGATTGGAATGGTGTCTTAGATATACAAAGGGACAAGAAAGGTTCCGCTCCTTTTCTTAAACAAGCAAGGTTACCTAAAGCTTTTTTTGATATGAAGGAAGACTGGGAATTAAGGGATTATTGGCGGGAATGTAATCAAGAGGAGAGAGATTTCACTTTTTTTTCTGATAGACACCAATCTTTTTCAAGAATTGACTTTTTTTTGATTACTACGGATTTGTATAATAAAGTAAAGAATGTAAAGATTTTTCCTAGATCACTGACGGATCATAGCCCAGTTTGGATGGAGCTGACTCAAGAGAAAGAGGAAAGGAGATCCTGGAGAGTTAATGAAAATTTGTTCAGACAAGAGAAGAATGTTCAAAAGTTAAAGGAGTGTTTAAAGGACTATTTTGCTTTGAACATGTATAAGGGGACTTCAATGTCAATGGTATGGGATGCAGGTAAAGCATTTATGCGTGGTGTTTTGATAAAAATGAATAATTCTCATAAGAGGAAGCAGATTCAGAAACGTAGAGAACTTGAAGATGAAATTAAATCAAAAGAAAGGGCCTTGATTCTAAATCCTTCTAATGAAAGTATTAAAGAATCTGTAAAGTTACTAAGGTCACAATTTAATATGTTGATAGCAGATCAAGCGGCAACCAATTTATTGTTTATGAAACAAAATACATTTTGTAATGCTATTAAGCCTGGGAGATGGTTGGCTTATCAATTAAGAAAGAAACAGAGACAGAGAATAATAGAGAAAATAAATTACAAGGGTAAATTAGTTTCTCAGAAGGAATTGATTAAAAAATCTTTTTTGGATTATTATCAAAAGTTATACAAATCTACTAATGTGCAACTGCTAGATATAAATAAATATCTAGCTGAGGCAAGTTTTCCTAAACTGACTGAGGATCAGAAACATGAAATTAATGGCTTAATTACTAAGGAGGAAATTGCCTCAGCAATTCAACAATTGAAACTAGGGAAAGCACCGGGTACGGATGGGTTAACAGCTGTTTATTATAAAGCTTTAATGGAGGAGATGATCCAACCATTAAATGATCTTTTTAATGGTATCTTACAGGGTTTAGAGATTCCTCCTTCATGGCGTAGTGTTTTTATATCATTGATTCCAAAGGAGGATCAAGATCTTACTTTACCAAAAAATTATAGGCCTATATCTCTTTTAAATGTGGATTATAAGATATTTGTAAAAATCTTTGGTAAATAGGCTTATGAGGGTGGCGCATCATCTTGTGCATAAAGATCAATCAGGGTTTATAACAGGAAGGTATATGAAAAATAATGTTAGACAAATTATTAATCTATTAGAATATTTAGACAAGAACAACCAAGTTCCTGCAGGGCTCATATTTTTAGATGCTGAAAAAGCATTTGATCAATTGAATTGGCATTTTATGCTAAGAGTAATGGAAGAAATGAATTTTGGCGAAAAGATATTACAAGCTCTTACGGTAATATATCAAAAACAAATGGCACAACTTATTGTTAATGGAGGTTTGTCGGAGGTTTTTACAATAGAGAAAGGTACTAGACAGGGGTGTCCTTTATCGCCATTGTTGTTTGTTTTAACACTGGAAATATTATTGATCAAAATTCGAGAGTCTCAGGAAATTAAAGGAATAGAAGTTAACAAAAAAGAATATAAGTTGAGAGCTTTTGCGGATGACTTGGTTGTTACTTTGTCGCAACCTGATTATTCTGCAGTAAACTTATTACAGTTGATTCATCATTATGGTTTGGTTTCGGGTTTCAAGATTAATGTAAATAAGACTAAAATCTTACCTAAAAATATGTCTAGTCAGGAGAAGCAGATTTTGGCTAACTTGACGGGTTTTGAGATTGTTAATAAGGTAAAATATTTGGGGGTGATGTTGTCTGTTTCTAATGTAAAATTATTTAAAAATAATTATGAAAGGTTGTGGGTCAGGGTACAGAAGGACTTGAAGAATTGGGAGAAGTTGCAATTATCCCTCATGGGAAGAATTGCAGTGATAAAAATGAATATTCTACCCAAGTTTCTTTTTTTGTTTCAAATGTTACCGATTTTGAAAAATGAGATTAATTTAAGTGAGTGGCAGAAGGGTCTTAATAAATTTATTTGGGCAGGGAAAAAGCCAAGGGTTAAGTTTAAAATTATGCAAGACTTCCGTGAGAGGGGTGGACTTAAGGTACCAAATTTGAAATTATATTACGATGCGGTGGTCTTAACACTAATCAGTGATTGGGTAAATTTGACAAATCCTGAGATACTTCATTTAGAGGGATGGGATTTACTTTATGGGTGGCATGCCTATTTAATATTTAATAAAAAAATGGACTGGGTCTTTAAATCTCATATTTTAAGAATTTCTTTACTTAGGATTTGGAGAAAATATTATAAAAGTGATTTTAAAGTTCCATTATGGGCTATACCTTGGCATGCGATAGAAGGAATAAAAAGAGGAGTAAAAATGGACATGGTGTCTTATAGTCAGTTACTTAGATGGGCAAAACTGGCAGTTAAGATTACGAGAAGATTTAGCGCAAGAAAATATTATTTATTCTTGGTTTCAATATAGGCAACTAGTAGATAAATGGAAGGTGGATTGTAAATTGGGTTTTCTTAGAGAAGATGGAAATCTTATTAAGCAAGTCAAGGATCAAAGACAAACCCATATCAAGAGAATTTATGGGGTATTAGTTGAAATGGACTCAGAAACGGAATTAATTAAAGATTGTATGATTAGATGGGCGCAGAATTTTGGTGTCCCAGTCTCATTGGACATTTGGGAAACCATTTGGGTGAGAAATGTCAAATTTACACAAGCACAGAACCTTAGGGAGAATTTTTATAAAATGTTTTATAGATGGCACCTTGATCCACAAAAAATGTCTCTTATGTACCCTGACGTGCAACCCAAATGTTGGAGATGTGGTTATAAGGATGCTTCCTATTATCATATTTGGTGGTCATGCAGAGAGATAAAAGCATTTTGGATCAAAATATGGTGGAATATCCAGAGAATTTTTAGAAGGAGGGTAAAATTTACTCCGCAATTATTTTTGTTAGGCATTGTTACAGATTGTGATACAAAGGAGGTTGTATTGATGTTAAATTTGATTACAGCCGCTAGGCTGTTAGTAGGACAATATTGGAAGAAGGAATCTTTGCCTACATTGCAGGAATGGTTTCTTAAAGTAGCTTATCTGGCGGAAATGGCAAAGATTTCGGCTTTCTTAAAGCAACAAACGCAAGAGAAGTTCCTTGCTGTTTGGGACAAATGGATAAAATTTATACAATTTAGATTGGGTATACAAAAATATCACATAGCTTTTTTATAAGTTTTATTTTTATATATATATATATAGATATTTTTATATATATATATATATATATATAAATTTTTTAATTTAATTTTTTATTTTTATTTCTTAATTTTTAATTAAGCCTATATTCTGCTCTGGGAAGCTCAGGGGGGGGGAAGGGAGGGTTTTTGTGAGGGGTGCGGGATGGGGGGGGGGTTTATATATATGTAATGTTTAGTTTCTTTTTTGTATATGTTGTCTTTTGTTTTGTATTGTTTTTGTCTTTTTGTAAAATTTATAAAACTTTCAATAAAAAAAAAGAAAATAAGGAAAATGCAGAAAAGAATCTTATTTAAAACATCTGTCTATTTTATAAGAAAATTCAAATCATATTTAATTAACATATTACTATTTACTATTATTTACTATAGTAGTAAATACTATATTTACTATTATTAACATATTACTAATTATACAACAATACTTTCAATACATTTGGTTTTGAATATATATATATATAATATATATGTATATTATATACATATATATATATATATATATATGTATATAATATGCACACTGTGTATGTATGTATACTTGTTATATATGTGTATACATATAATGTGTGTGTGTGTGTGTGTATTTATTTTCAGAGGATTATATAAGTAATGTTATTTCTTAAACAAAATGAATAAATATTAGTAGTCTTCTATAACCTACTAGACCTAATAGTTTTAGGAAGCTGTCGGAAGACTGCAGTAGAGAGGGGAAATGGGAAATGTCCTTTTTAAACTTCTTTAAGTTAAGTCAGGGCTGCTGAAAATCTGTTGCCATTCAGAAATTGCTAACCACAGCTTTTCTCTCTGCTAGCCATTCAGTAAGGCTGATTGATGGAAGTTGACATTTAGTATTATTAGGAACCCTATATATTTCCTTAAAATTCACTCATTTGAAGTTACAATCCTATTAAATATTAACTTGCATCATATCTCAACACTATGGTTAAAAGAATATTCTATTAATAAAGCCATAGGTTCACCTGAACTAAGAGTACATATCAAACACTTCACAGACTAAAGGAATGTTTGATATCCTATTATAACAAAACATCTTAATTTCATTTTGAAAATATTTTTCATTTCTTTACAGATGAAATTTAAATGGCAAAAAACAATCGAACACAAATTTATTGCTTTTTTAAATGGGGTCTGCAATATATAAATAGAATTGTTATCCAAAACATGAATTTCAGGTACTAATTGCAATAAAAGATACTGGCTGAAGAAAAGGATTCAGAGATTGTCTAAATCTCTGTCCCTTTGGGATCAACAGTTTCATTACAGTTTCATTCTTAGGGTTTAGATATAAGAGCCTGATCATCTATAGTATAGTTTTGCACATCATTTATATGAATACACTTTGTGTCTGCACACACAGACACAGATACACACACACACACACACACATGCACAAGTGCTGGGGTGTAGTCCATTCCATACGATTAATGGCAAAATTGTGAAATGCTGGATTTTATCTACAACAGAATCCAAGGAGAAATCTGAAAAGAAATACAATCCCCGCTGATATGTGATGCCATGTGTTAATCGACTGAGCATGAAAGACTGAAAAATATTCAAAATTATTGACTAAGAAGATAATAGCTTCACCCACCTAAACCTTTTTCACAAACTAGGATTTAAGAATTTAGGCCATCAGATTTTTTTTTAAAAAAAAGTCACAAAAACTTATTTGACATTCTCTTTAATGTACTCGATGTTTTTTATTTATTTACCATCATTTTCATGACTATAATCTTTCTCTGGTAATTTATAATACAAATGTGTTAAAATGAATGCCAAATCACAAGATCATGTTTAGACCATTTTAAAATAAGTCCATTAAAATGGAAATATCTAAGAGAACAAAAACAATTAGAACCCTTTTTTAAAAACGTAAGAGCCAGAGAGAACACACATATTTTAAAGCTTTTTTAAAAACAGCCATGGGGGGAAGCAGCTATATATCAGAAACACTTGACATATTCATCAGTGAAGAGTATAATACAAAAGAAGATTTGATGCTTTGCAGATCAACACCATGTACTCTGAAACATAAATGGTCTGTATGATTTAAATGATAGCTATAAAACGACATTCAGCTTCAATCCCTTGAAAGCGCTTCATGGGGATTGGCACACCAATAAAGAGAAGTTTATGACATATTTGGTGGAACACATCCCTGATCCCAATCCTTCTCATTCAATCTCATATGCCACACAACAGCTGAGTGGAAAACTGGACTACAAGACTCCAGGAGTTCAATAACTATTTCCTAAAATCAACTGTGGCTGATAACTTGAACAGGAAATAAATACTCATACTTGAAAGTGACCATGGCTTAGTTTGACAGAGTGAAACAGTGTTCCTGGAAGAATGCCAAAATAACCATTAAGATAAAAATAATGATCCACCAGGCTCATGTCCTCATTGCCCTCTTATGTCAGCCACTTTTAGTTGTCCCCCCCAAAAAAAGAAGAAAAGAAAAGAAAAGCCAATCCTTAAACAACTTCTACCTTCACTATGCACATTCAGAATCCACTAGAGTTGGGTGGCCACTAAAGTTAAATTACCAATAATAATTTCCATTTTCTTCTAGGATCTAAGACAATCAGGAACTTTTGGGGACAGAGGGGCTTATGCATTTGATTTGTCAGATATTAATAAGAATGTTTTAAAATATTCCTCAACCATGTTGTAAAGTATAATGTGTTTTCTGGCAGGACAGGGAACAACAACAGAACTCTTGAGAAAAAAATGACTGGGAAACAACCAAGATGGACAAACCACTTCTGTACTATTTCAAAGAAAACTTCATTGACACATCCATAAAGTCATCAGGAGTTGAACCTCAAAATCAAAAAAGGCTTTGCTTTCTCTATACCAGGATTAGAAACACTATAGTGGATGTTAAATTTAACAGTTACCGTCTGTAACTCTATTGTTTGTTGGCAATCAACTCCATAGAATTTTTTATAATTTTTAATTGAGAACAATATAAATTAGTTTCTTGTTCGAAAGCGTGGCAAAACAAGAAAAATGCAACATTGTACGGGCAGAGTTCCACTTATAGCTAATGCTTTTTTTCCTTCCTCACTCTAAAATTTCCCCATGCACACTGAAAATTTGCATTAGAAGTTAGGAGGGGCTTCAGTCCAGACTCTGGAGGCCACTGGGAATGTAAAAGATGGAATAATCATACTGCTGGATTTACCCTCCTTCTAAATTGAACGAACTTTACAAAACCCCTCAAACATCAGCGTTCTCCCCAGTGAAAGAAATGGAAATCTTGCTCTTTTGTGACTTGCCATGAAATGAATGATTCACTAGTAGGTTTCTAAATTACAGATTACAGATAAAATTATCTGTAATTTTTTTAATGCACATATGGCATGTTAGTATGTATAAGCATTATCAGAACCAAGTGATGTGGACTGCTACTTTAAGGACAATCACAGTCTTTTAAAAGCAATGGCCCCAACAATGTTTCCTGGGTATTTTTGCCATTAAGAATCAGGAAAATAGATCAGCAGACCACCTGAGTTATTCTATTAAGTATGTTTGTATCTTTCAGTCCTCTCAAAGGCACTAAGGATATTTCATTTTAAAAAGCACCATGAATCTGACTTGTAAGCCTTTATCATCAATTATTTGGGCATTTTACAACATTTACCCCGAAGCTGCCCAAAACTGCAATACGTACGACATTAGTTAAATGGTTTAGTTAAAGTGATTTAAAGCACACTTAATGTTTTCATTAATAATCAGCTCCACATTCAGAATTTGTCCCACACAGATATCTTTCTTGACTTTGAAGATGGAAACAGAGATCCTCTTTTACCACAATTATCCACCCAGCATAACAACTCCTATATTCTTTTGTTTTTTTTAATGTGTGTTTTCGGTAGCAAAAACTAATTAATTCTGAAAACGGTCAAATTCCTCCTCTCTCCTTCTTCTTTTATCTTCTACAACAAGCAAAAAAAAAAAAAAAAAAAAAAAGCCAGCTACGCAGAAGTAATCATTCATGGGAACCAAAAAGCAATCCTTTCCCCAGGAGAAAAATGGCACAAAGATTAGAGGTGGTCAGTTGTCTGCTTCACAAAATCCTTCAAAGCCTTTTTTTACTGTTTATTTGTATGCATCACCCATTATTACAGATCAAAACGTTCTTAACCGGTTTTTTTCTCTTGAACATAACTATTCCCCCTTCAACATTCTACTAGATCAATTCTGTACTCAGCATTCTATACTCATTTTTACATTGTTATTATTATTTTTTTTACCTCAATGCTGCTTATCAATTCTAGATACTGAAGATCTCGCATTCTGGTAAACGCCTACTGAAACACAGGAAGAAAATATATCGACAATATAATATCATGTACAGTAAATAACCACAGTTCCTTACATCTTGCAACTATTATGAATACTAAACGAAAATTGCTATTAGAGACAGTGGCAATAGCTGTGATTTACTGTATGTTCTGTGCTCTTCACCTATTTTTTTTAAATTAGACGAAATGGAGTCATTAGCCAGATATCTCTCTGCTCTACTATGTGTAAAAAGAATTATGCAGATTTGGGTTGTGGTTATGGTGAAGAGGTCAAAAAGTAGCACCAGCGCTATCAAAAGCTCTGCAATTGGGAACAGAGGTAGAACTGGAACTAGAACAGGGGTAGCACTACAGCTGCATTACACTTGCAAAACAGCTTCATGTGCCACCAAAATATTGTTGGTGAATTCCCAGAAATGATGTAGAATGACAACTGCACTATAGGTTATGTATGAGGCGGTGGTCCATTATTAAATCATCTAATTTTATATGTCAAAGATGGATAGTGTATATAACTTTTTTTCAAATAGTAGGGCTATATTAAACTTAACATGGTGGATGAGGACTAAACTCTAAAGAGTGAACAGAGAACAAGAGCAACACATGGATGGGAAACAAGAAAAAAAAAGTTCATTAAATTTATTTACTCAACTAAACTGATTTCTCCTCAAATATTGAATCTCTTATCCTTAGAATAATGACACTGTTCTTTCCCTCCTCCCTGCTACTTCCAGCACCACCACCACCACCACCACCACCGGGTTTTAAAATAAATTGGGCAAAGGGCAGCAGTACTTGGCGCTGCTTATACATTGTTGGAAACCTGACATTTTGCAATCAGAATCGATGTAATGAGGGATGGGAGCGTGGTCCACCCCCCCTTCATCCTAATCAGCCAGTTTATATAGAAAGCCATGCATCTTTTCAAAAAAAGGAGAAAGGAATTTAGGGTTTGGCAATCACTGCTGCTGTGACAAGGGTGGGAAACACGCATACATAAACACACATACACACAAACACACACACAAACAGATCATCTTCTCTCCTGGTCAGAGCACCTGGGCAGACGACTGGCAAGATTCCAGAGTATATAGGAGAGAGATCAAAAGCAGGAAAATAACCAAGGGAAAGGAGGGGCTGTGTTTCCATATAACAATGTTTCCTTCAGTCTAAGTTCTTTTGCATCACGGCTATGGCAAAGGCATTTATGAATGTTCAGCACTTTTCACGGAATACTGCCGAGGGAAACTGAATGGAGGAGCTAGACTAGGAAATTGTGGCAGGAAGCAAAACATAAATATGAAAAAGAAAAGATCCTAAATCCCATCTGCCTTTAAAAGAATATTAGATATAAAAAAAATCTTGTCTCCTTTACCATACTTTCATTCTAAAAAAACATATTTTGGAAAAAAATCTATGTTGTCTTCCTCTAAACACTGTTACTCAAAAGGTAGAGGAAAGAAACATGGAAAGAACAGTAACATAGGATGAAGCTCTGGCAACTATGAAGCAATGCCTAAAGGATGTATGGGCTCAACAGCTGGGTGCTTTTGGGCTACATGGTTTCTATGAATTTCAAGATAGCTTTCTTAACTCTCACATGGGATGGGATGGGATGGGATGGGATGGGATGGGATGGGATGGGATGGGAAGGGAAGGGAAGGGAAGAGAGGAGAGGAGAGGAGAGGAGAGGAGAGGAGAGGAGAGGAGAGGAGAGGAGAGGAAAGGAAAGGAGAAGAGAAGAGAAGGGAAGGGAAGGGAAGGGAAGGGAAGAGAAGAGAGGAGAGGAGAGGAGAGGAGAGAAGAGAAGAGAAGAGAGGAGAGGAGAGGAGAGGAGAGGAGAGGAGAGGAGAGAAGAGAAGAGAAGAGAAGAGAAGAGAAGAGAAGAGAAGAGAAGAGAAGAGAAGAGAAGAGAAGAGAAGAGAAGAGAAGAGAAGATTATGACTCTTAGAATTCCCCTCTGATACAGAAATGGATATGCTATCCAAAACTTTTGGGCATTAAAGCACCAATCCATCTGGAGGAAGATTATTCTTAAAGAGAAAGAAAGCAAAATGTGGTTGGCTTCAGCTTGTTAAAACGGGCCTTTTAGAAGTAAGGATGTATATTTCAATTCACTTAGGTTCTTGTATTTTAAATAATACCTAGCGATAATTCCAAATACATTTTATAAGCTTATCCAAGGCTATTTAAGGAGAAAGACCAGTAATCAATAAATAATCATGCACATGGTTCGAGGGGCAGGGTATCACAACTTTGATAAAGCTGAGCAGCTTAAGACTGAACAGTGCAATTGGAAACTCCTAGCAATATCACAATATTCAATGTTGTGTAATAAATATCTTTTTTCCCAGCTACTTCAATGTTAATTAGAGAAGAGAAACCAGCACAAAAGTTATAATCATTCTGTCACATTCTAATAGTAGGAAAAATCTGGGAAGTCTTCCTTCTCTCCTCAGGCATGTTTAGAATGTCCACTGTTGAATCTACGTATCTCTTTATCTGTACATCTAATGGAATGTGGGATGACCTTGGGAAAAGAGGGGAAAGAGATGTTGCCTAGGAGGAATCAGACAAGAGAGGCAGGCGCTCTCAGCGGCTTAATTCAGAAAAAGAAGCTTAGGAAGGACTTGCCCCAATGGATCGAGTAGGTAAAAGTGATGGCATGAAGTTTTATATTTTCAGACTTGCAAGGTTGATGTCAGTTCTCCTGGATAAGCCAGAAAGCGAACACGACTAGATGACCTAGATCTATTTTAATATCAGTTTACATTAACAGAATCTTGAACTGAAAGCGAACAAGTTATAAATGCTTACCATGAAATGTTTAAATTTAAATATTTATATTTAAATAATTTGTCATTTGAAAAGATGCTGCATAGTTCATAATGACGCAGGAGTACCTATCAATTAACAGAAATTAATGAAGATCCAAATGCACAGACTAAAATTTTACCTTTTTGGCTGTTTCAAATTCAAGTCCTTCTAAAGCCTCCATCGCCAGTTCTTTCCAATCCGTATCAGTTACCCCTAAACAAGCAATCTTGTAGGCTTCTTTGAACATTTTTCTTTCCAAGTATTGATACATAGGTGCTGACTGCAAATTTTCATTTAAACCAAAATAAAATACTGAGATGTTATTAAGAGGCAAAACATAACACATTTGTATCAGGTTATATATGTATAAATGCAAAATGATTTTCTGCCCTTCCCATCAGAAACGAAGAAGGAAATAAACATAAATAAAGTGACAATCATTTCTTTTGCATGTAAAATTATGTAACGCAAACAAAGCCCTCAATCAACTTAAGGAAATCAGTCTCTGTAGCATTAGCTAGATCAATGACAGCAGACAAAAACTTGAAACATATTAGAATGCAAAGATTAATTAATTAATTAATTAAACAAATTTATGTAGCTGCCCAACTTGCAAATAGGTGACTCCAGGCACCTTACAACATTTGATGTAATTTGTACCTCATTGAAATCCTGGATGCGTACAGTACTTGAAAGTCCATTTCTGCCAAGATTTGGGAATAGTAAATCATATTGGTTTATGTGCCTCATTGGATCAAGATTTTTTTTTTCTGGTAGCAATTGTCACTAAAAACATATTTTTGACAGCCATTTCTTACAAACTGAGTTTTGTAGGAAAAAACTGAATATATTCCACAATGCTATCCTTTGGCGATCTTGTTCTTTTGCCAAACTGTTCTTACAGATGGCAGTTTGTTTTCTCCTTCATACAAGCAACAGAATGTAATTACTCTATCCTCATTTACGGCAGCCTTTTAATGTTTAAAAATGATTCCCACATAATTATCCATTTTAATCTTCTCTTCCCTTAAGGCCATGATAGTATCAATCCATAATTATATTAATATTTTTTGCACTTGCTGCCTTACTGCTCTTATCAAACCCCCTATCATTTTTGTGCTATATCAAGTCCATTATTTAGGCAATAACAGGGAATTAATTGTATAAACTCTGACTATTATCTAATCTAATAAAGACTGAGTATATGTTACAATGATAAAATGGCATCTGTTAATGGAATGAAATCTTTGTCCCTCCTCCACAGGCCCAGAATCTGCTCCTGATGTTTATGGTATAGGATGGAAGAGAGAGAGAGAGAGCAAATTGATAGAACGGGAAAATATAAATGCAGCCCATTGCATTGCACTCAATATTTTTTCTTACCTCCTGCATTCTCTTATTTCATCTGTACTGAATTTTACTATCTTCTGTGTGACACTTTTATCTATGATTTGCAAAATTTAACATGCACCTAGTATTTTGGATCATTTTCTTCAATCAATAAATGAAGAAGTACTGTATAAAGTTTTTGATTCCTTTTTGTAAATTGGTTTTCTTTGTTTTAAGATGTGTAGGAAACAGATTATCTTTTAGATCACATTTATGCAGAAATATTGAACATTCAAAAGAGATCACAAATTTTTAAGCACCACTGTACATGATTCTCCTCGTCTATAAATTATTCAGGGTTGCTGAATTTCATCAAATTTATCAAGATTTAAGTTACATCCAAAAATAAGTGAACAGATTCTATTTATCCAACAGGAGGCATCATACTCTCATATTTCCCCCTCCCTCTCAAAACCCTTATGAAAGGTTTCCCAACTTTTTTAAACACCTTATGGGATATGCAGAAAGGAGAAAAAAAATATTCTATTAAGAAATGGCAGTGATAAATATAACTCAAGAGACTTGTGCAGCATTTTGATACTTAAAGACAGGATTTTTGGAATACATAGGGACATTTGTATAGCATTTGTCTGTGACCCCTTAAAGCGGCTGGGTCTTTTTCCAGAATTGTGCAACTGCTCTTTCAGACTGCAATGCAACTCCAGGAAAAGATGCATTTCTTTTATAGAGTTGCAGATTAATGTTAAGGCACATGGCCTGTATGTTCCATAGCACTTGTCTACCTTTGAATCTTAAAACGCGGTGCAGTCTTACAACAGATATCTTCATTCGCTTTAAAACGTTTCTAAACCTTTACTTAGGAGTCATCAATAATTTTTGCAAGGTAGTATCTTGTTCTTAACGGGACTGTTTTTAGCCAAACCAATTTAAGCCAGATTCAATTCAAATCTTTTTTAAACCTTGCAAAATCTCCTTGGTTTCTCTTCTTTTAAATAAAAGACAAGTAGAGAATAAGTGAGATCCAAATTCTATTTGGTCTAAGAATAACATCCCTTATATGTTCAAAGCAGCTAAATTTGAAATATCTTCTGCTTGTTCTTGTCAGTTGTACATGGACACAAAACATACATTTATATGTGGAACAAAAAGTCCAGCAGAGGTGGCATTTTAACAAAGAATAGTAAATATGAGTATGAATCATTTGACATGAATTCATAGTTTCATGGAATAAGGTATCTGGTTCAAATATTCATAACTAGACATAATATAGCTTGTCCTTGACTTACGATCACAACAGAGCACAAAATTTCTGTTGCTAAACGAAACATTTAAGAGAATTTTGCCCCATTTTACGACCTTTCTTGCCACAGTTAAGGGAATATCTGCAGTTGTTAAGTTGGTAACACGGCTGTTAAGTGAATCTGGCTTCCCCATTGACTTTGTTTATCAGAAGTCACATGACCCCAGGACACTGCAACCATCATAAATATGAGTCATTTGCCAAGCATCTGAATTTTGATCACTTGATCATGGGGATGCTGCAACGGTTGTAAGTGTGAAAAACAGCCGTAAGTTACTTTTCCGTTGTAGCTTTGAATGGTCACTAAATGAAATGTTGTAAGTTGAGATACAAAGGCCACTGTGCTCACTGTTCCAGCTAGATCTTATTTATTCAACGAGTCACAGTAAATGGAACTCTTAAATTAACATAGTTTCATGAAATAATCTGGACAAGTCAGAATCTCAAAAACAATTTTAATTATGAATGAAAATCCTATCCTGGTCTCTTATTAAGCTATGACATGCTCATTCAACTGGGCAACAAATCATTACTGTTCCTATTAGATGATTAACTGTTTCTCATATTTCCAATCATGCCTACAGAATTGTTTTGTTCACTATGTAATTTTCCTGGAAATAAATAACATTTGTTCCTGTGCTAAAACATTTTAATGCCTATTATCTGAACAAATCATTAAGCAAGAACGTGCAGAAAATCGGTACTTGACTGAGGTTTCACCAGGACAAAAACATGATTGGAGAGACTAAAATGTTAAGTAATTAATTTTCCAGGGCTCAATTTTTTAAACATAAAATAGAGAAAAAAAGTGGCAAATGGAAAGAACAACACTGGCTTATCAAATAAGGAATATAATAAAAAGTTTTTGTCTACTTGGTAGCCTTGTATAATGCTTCTCACCTCTGTGGCAGGAAAACTGAACACATCACATTCTGCTTTCTCCCCCAACCGTACTATTATAAGCATGAGTCATATGAGAAAAAAACCAAATGAATTAATTCAGGAATACATCTAACTTAGAAATGTTTTAGGAATCTTAGACCAAATAATGTTCATGTTAACAATGCAAAGATGAGATGAATGCGTTAACATTACCTGTGGAACTTCAACAGCAGTCATAGAAAAAACATGAAGGCAAAAAATTTTGGAACCATTGTATCCCACTACAAATCCCTGAAGTTTTTGCTGATGGACAGGAAAATTACTAGCTTTGATATTGAGATATCCCCCTCCAGAGAAACAAAGCATGTCCTCACACTGGGTGTTCCAAGCCACACTGTTAGCATTGGGTTCCTAATGAAATGGTTAAACAAAGTATTAATTAAGCAATAAACATGTTTTTAAAAGAAACAGACAGCATTAATTTAAAGCAACCTCCCTCAGTTTGCTACACTAATATATCTAGAGGATCAAGCTTAGCAAATATAATTAGCAAACAGAGGCTAAAATATTTTTTTAATATTTCAGGCTATTTTTTAGCTTGCATTGCAAAACAAAAAAAATTTTTTTTAGTCAACTACATTGTAAAAAGACAAAAAAATATATATTTACTTGGATAAAACACAAATGAAATGAACAGTAGGGCTAAAAAGCACTGTTTCCATTTCAAGATCTAGAAGCTGTTTTTATTGTGTATCATTGTTTTGACTTGTCAGAAAAATACACCACTTCAAAATTAGAACTGCATGATGTTTGATTATATCATTTCTAAAACACATATACTGCATAAGTGATCATTTAAAAATGGAACCTGAACATCTGCCACAAAGGCAATCCCTTGAAACAGTAAGGGAATACTAGAGTATCTTTGGGGAACATATAGAAACGATTCTTTAGAAACCGCAACTTAGTTTGAAGATTCTTGAACGGTCATATTTCCCATCAGAAAGTCCACTTTCAGTGAAAGCATCCTGAGTGAAATTATGAAGGCCTTGAAGACATACAAGTTGTCTGAAGGGAAAAAGTGTATAATGAGGCAACACTGGCTGGCTCAGGAATTCTGGGAGTTGAAGTCCACAAGTCATAAAAGAACCAAGGTTGCCTACCCCTGCACTAGACAGAGCACTGACTGAAGGCTAAGGTTATTATGATTTATTTGAAAAGGCAGGAGTTCTATTCTGCTTACTCTCTAGAAATCTACTGTTTTTTATAAATGTCTTCCAAACTGAGGGATCCTTGGTGCTCACTGAGCTTGGTTGTTTTCTTGTAGACATTTCATTACCAAACTAGGTAACATCATCAGTGCTAATCTTCCAAACAGTTTTGTACATCTTTGGCATGATTTCTTTTCTGAAGAAAGGAATATTGTCATTACTTTTACTTTAGATGTCTAATAGCTAGACAGTCATTGTGGGTCTGGATAATTAACCATCCCACCGAGAAATGCTTGGGGTGCATGCAGGATCACCAAAAGCCAGAACCTCAGCAACAGCAATGAAAATATCTAAAGACCTTTTGATGTTCCTTAGATCTGTGGAGAATCAAGGAACACATAAGGAAGATCTGGGATGGTGTTATACCAGATCCATTAGTAACCATATATCAGTTAACTCTTCTAAAGACCCAGTATAGATACATGGAAATAGATCTCTCAGAGAAGAGTTTCTATTCAACAATGATTCAGCTTTAGGATGTAATTTCTTTCTTCAGCCTGACAGAAAAAAAATTAGCAGACTGCATGCTTTCTAGGAAAAAGCTAGTTTTACATCTAATTTCTAAATGGTGAGTTAAGGCTTATTTGCTGAAGCTTTCTTTTGTCCAGAATCTGGAGGATGGGATTGTAGGAACCTGACTCTCAGTTTTATGACCCTATTTTCTGCAGGTACTTAGACCTTGGAAGTTTGTCACTTAGATATGAACAAAGGAAAAAGAGTCTCCCCAATGCTTGCTTTTAGTTTTATTTGAATCACAACTCCATATGAGAGGTTTTCTGAGGACATGCATTCTTGGAAAGTGCCTGAGAGCCTGTGAAGAATCCAAAAAGCTATTGTAGTCTGATCTCTTTGAGATTGTGTGTGTGTGTGTGTGTTGTGTGCATATGCTGCTAGTTGAAGGAATTTAGTGACAGATTCATCCAAAGAAATGACAGAAATTGCCCTATATTGCTTAGGATATTTTCCCTAAGAAGCAATGACCTGTTATTTTAAATTCTTTGTCTAATTTAAGGAGACTTTGATCCTGTGGTGGGATTCAGTCAGTTCGTACCACTTCAGCAGAACCGGTAGCTAATTTTTTGTTGCCCAGGCCCAGAACGGACTTCCGGAAGTGGCATCTACACAGAGAACCGGTTGTTCACATATTTGAATCCCACCACTGCTTCGGTCTATTATGGTAGTGTTTGCTTTGTTCTGCTCTAACAATGGATTGGCTAATTCAATGAAAACTGCCTGTTTAATCCTCTGAAGTCTAGAAGGAAACCTTGGGAGATCAGTAATAAGTAGAATGAGATAAAGTTTTCTTTAGCAGACCTTAATTGTGCCCATTATTTCCTGCTAAATAGCACCACCTTCTGGCCATATATTGCATCACAAAGAACTCCTGGCCTCCAAATGGTATTTAATACAAAAGAAAAAAGGCTGTGGAAGAACTACCAGACTAAGCAACCCTGTTTTGCATTTCCACTCAAATGGTCATCGTGAATAATCCCAGTCGGGCTATCTTACAACTGCTGTGCATCTGACAGTTATTCTTAGCAGCAGCACTTGCCTGCACAAATAAATGACAAAGAAGTCTCCATTTATTGATGCTTAATTGGGTTCAGAGAATAGCCACTGTAACACAGCCAAAACACCTGATGCTGAACAATAGTAATGAGCACACTACTGCTGGAAATTTTAGTTGCTGCTATGTAAGATCTTCTTTTGGGGGGGGGGTTATCCCTGATAATCTGTTGTACTATAAAACTAACTTAGCTTTCTTTATGCTTCCCACACTTCAAATTAAGCTGCTTCTCCTCTTGAAACCATTACTAAGTCTAGTAGGAGAAGTGGATTTTTTTTAAAAAAAAAAAAAGCAGAAAACAATAAACAGCAGAAACAAACTTTTTAAATAGGAAGAGAAGTCTATTAAAAAAGTGAGACTTAATAGCAAGACATCAAGATAAGAAAAGTTATTTCAATCAGGTAACTGATATTCAAAGGAGCAGGTGAGACAGGAGAAATTCTGTCCTAGAAAAAGACACAGAATGATAGATGAAGACCGGTGGTACTCAGCTCTGCAAAAGCAGCCCACAATTCCAGCTTTATCTGCATGACAAAGAAGGTGAACCACTATGGTATTCTCCCTTACAAAACATTGGAAAATAATTTTTAAAAAAGTATTTAAAATCCTAGTCATAATAATGAAATATACACACGATCTGGATGTAGAAGGTTCCATTTTATTCCCTCCCTCCAACTTATGCAACATCTTTTATATAGTTAGTGCTTCTTTTAAACATTTACAGAAGTTTAATCTTCTGAGCTTTCAGACTCATGCTGTAGCCCAGGGATGTCAAACTGCCAGCCCGCGGGCCAGATGCATCATGCCAAAACTGCGTCCACCCCATTGCTAGCAATGGAAAAAAGTCACAATACGTCGCAACATGTCACGTGACATTGCGAGTTTGACACACCTGCTGTAGCCCATCCTCAGGAACTTCTCTCTCATCAGAACATGTCTTTTTTACTTTATTTTTTCCCCACAATTATAACTTTTCCAGTTTTTGGTTTGTCAATATTAGAATTTGTTTCAGATTTATAGCCCTAAGTAATCAAATTCTTGCTTTCCGGAAAAGTTTGATTTATAAACAGATACTAATCCCATTCAGACTAAAACTACTGGGCAGCTGGAAGACACTTGAGCTCTTCTTCCTTCTTTGTCTGCTACTAGTATAAAATCTCATGTCTGAAACATTTTGGCCCGCTATGGACATAATCAGTTGGTGCAATATCCTTGGTGTGAGTACATAAATTAGCAGAGTTAACTGTTGAATATCAATCAATAGCCCTACTCCTAACCCATTTGGTGGAGTGGGGGGGGGGAAGACATCCAAGATCAGATATTGTCAATGGTATGTGAAACTCACTGGTGGATAAAAATGTTTTGGCAAGCAAAAATGGAACGAGAACCAATGGCTCCTTTCTCAATGTTTTAGGATATCTTTTCTTAAATTTTCTTTGAAATGCAGGGCGACATATGTATAAATGTATAAAAACACTTACCTGAAACAGTAATTCTTTGGTGTTAATGTCATAGACCAGACAGGTATCATTTTCATCAACTACTGCCAGTTTGTTTCGAGATGCACTCATATCCAGGCAACGCACGGCTGTAGATTGTTTTAGCAAAACAATTGCAAAAGGATTGTCCACAAAGATCTTCAGAATCTGGATATAATTACATTCAGAGAGTTAATAAAGCCCATATTGGAAAACTGCAGTTCTCATATGCTAGTCAGATGAAATAATTTTATGGAATCCAGATCCCTGGGAATAATCATTCAGACAAATTAGACAAATTGACTGCTTCTGCCTTTTTATATATGATTATATATAAAAGACATGGGGACAAATAATGGTTGACTGAGAGGACAATCATAGAGTTTATTCTTTAAAAACAGGAGCAATATTTAACTCTATAGTTCTTTTCAAATATATTAAACCAGAATTTAAAAATATACTGTAGATTCCCCAAAGCCCATAAAATACACTGTTCTTCTGATTCATTTTGTTAAATTCATAATCCTAGATGCCACACCTTATTCATCAGAAACATAGAAATACAGAAACCTGATGGCAGAATAAAACTTAGTGATCTGCCCTTTTGAGGTTTTTTTTTATTTTCTTTTTAATTTATGTATTTATTATTTTATTTTATTTTTTTATTTTGATCAGATGACGGACATGTGTTTATCTCAAGCAGGTTTAAACTTAGTTACTGAGGACTGACCCACTAACCCCACTGAAGTTGGTTCCAAGCTTCCACCACTCTTTCTGTGAATTTTCCAGTTTATAGAATGACACATACCAAGTATGCATTCAGTTTCTATCCCCAGGTTGAGGGGATGTAGCAACAGTATGTTGCCTTGTGTTGTCATCTTTAGGTCTGGATTTTGGCTGTGGTAAAAATGTACCAAAATCAACCACCATTGTTTTTGTTATTGGAATCTATGTTGCATGTGGCACAGGCATGACTAAAGCTGGAAACCTAATCTAACTTTACTAGAAAATCTATATACTACTAAAACTCTCATGTCTTTTTATAACCATCAACTGGGCAAAGTGGTGCATCATAGGCCAACCATTTTTGAATCAACATACCTCAGATGTGCTAACTTAAGAGAATGTGTCCAAAATCTGGGACCCCTAATTCCCATGGGAGTGAAAATTGGGAAAGATGTAGCCACTTAGCACTTCCAGTCAGCTGTGGTCATGTGACTGTCATTTCCAATGTTCCCTGACAGTTTCCCACAAGGCAATGGGTAAGCTGAGAGAAAAGATTACAAGTTCCCCACCTACACAACATCTATATCTCCTCTGCGCTCATGCCATGCTGGCCACTCACATCTTTCTACATCCACCCTGACTCATGCCGCACTCTCATGAGTCCTTCCCAACTCTTGTAGCACTTCTCACATATCTTTTCCAGCCTGCAGATCACATGTCATGCATCCTTCCTGACCCCTGCAGCATTTCTTGTGCGCTGCAGAAATAGAACGCTCAAGTATCAAAAAGTATTAATCTCCCCCAAAACTGAATAGAAAAACATATATAGGGAAAGAGAAAGTGGAAGCTCCTTGGAACAGAATTTAAAGTATAATACAGAATGTTGAGTGTAGTGTGTGGAATTACACTAAGCTTAGAAGAACAATGGGGTGAACAAGGTTGTGAATGAGGAAAAATACATGTTAGGAAAGACAATGAGTAAATAATGTGTGTCTGTGTGTATACATAATGTATCAGCTCAGAATTGAGGTCAGCCCCTACTTTTCTGGAAGAATTTTAAGACTTGGCTCTGCCAATTAGCAAGGGGTCTAACAGTGTAATGCACCCCTGGGGTTGACTAGTGGCTTGAGGGCACTCTAAGAGAGCAAGGAATAGTTAACATTAAAAGAGACAAAGAAAACGCAGAACAATTTTGATGCAAATAAATGTTTGGAAAATGAGTAATTCAAGCTGAACAAATAACATTAATCACAGTGAATGGAATAAAAATGAGGGTGAGGTAATTATTTGGGGTGAAGTAAGGGAATGCCAGAAGCAATAAGGGTATTATAATAATGATATGTGGATGCTACAAATCTTTGTGTCTAAAAAAACTAACAATAATGAGAAATTTTATGAGAAGGTGAAAAAGGTAAAAAAAGATTAATTCTGCAAATGTAGATGGTATCATTTGAGAAATATTAAAATATAGCTGTTGTTTGTTTATGGAATAGCTGCACAATTTGTTTAGAGTGTATGTAAAGACTGCATCCATGCCTGATGATTGGCAGATTGTTGTTATTGTTCTATTATGTAAAGAGAAAGATAGCAATGATGACTGTTAATACTGTAGGAGATTTGTTACATATGCCTAGGTAAGCGATTGCAAAAATTATGACTGAAAGGATACATGAGATTACAATTAGAAAAAAAAAATCAGAAGTGGAACATGGCTTTATGCCAGGCACATGATTGCTCTTCAGTAAGTCAATGAGAAATATATGACTATGAGAAAAAAATACCAAATATTTGTTGCTTTAGAGAATCATATGTTAAAATGAATAGAAAGTTTGAATTGTTCTGTACAAATATGAAGGTTGGTTGATGAATGTTATAAGAATGGCGCACGATGGAAGTAAAAGGTGTTTGAATGTACATGCAACTCCAAAGCAGTATAACTACATAACAGAATGATCTGGAAGTGATTTATTTCTATTTCTTTTTTCTTCCCTTGAATTTCTTTGGCTTACTATGTTTTTATTAATTTTCTATGATATGCATAATGTTGCTTACTGCAAAACAGAATGTGTTGGATATGTGTATATGTACGGAATAACAACTATCAACCCAATTTTTCATGAAGGAAAATGTCTACAAAAATGTATAACTTTCTTTCAAATTCTGTTATTTTCTATAATCTAACAGCATCTGAATCATCACTACAAAAAAAAAGTTTGTGTTTTATTAGAAAATCTCACCTGACCGTTCTTTAAACCCACTAAAAGGCCTTCTCTGCCTGGAGGTCCTCCAATTACTTTTATATATCGAATGAGAGATTCCATCACCCATTCCCGTTCTTTTGTTCCGCTGAAAGAGAGACACTGGAGTCTCTTCTCCTTTAAAAAAAAAAAAAGGGGGGGGGGAATACATATTCTGCTAGAAGTAGTTTTCATATATCGTAGCTTGACAATGATGTATATTTACCATAACTTTTATATTATGTTTCCATGCACAGACATAAACAAGTGGAAAATATTTTAGAATATCAAACAAGTCTAATTTCCTACCAATGTTCAGGTCTATTGTTTATAACCACTCTTTACAGTTTAATAGCCAAGAGCGCATTAATGAAATGTAGCTGCTCAGAAAAGTCATCAATCATTAAAAATTTTAAATAAAACTGCTATCAATTACTTTTTATTATACTTTCTAGAACATTTTACTCAACAGTTCAGACTTTCAGTAACTTCTTTCTAAAATGCCAACCCCGTTATGTAATGCTATGCCAAAACAAGGATAGGTGATTTATTGGAAGCAATTTATTCCAATTATCAAATGAAAGTGAGTATGATATATGTTATAAGAACTCGGGAAATCCATTCCCCATGGAGAAAATGATGTTACTTCTAGGAATTTCTAAATTCAGCCTTTAGCTAATGCCCAAAGAGTTGAGAATGATGCTCATATTACTGTGACAGGAATGATAACGAGGAATGCAAACCTCTAAAATAGCACTCCCCAACCTGTGACATGCAGGTCAGTGCCCAGAATTCACAAACAGAACCGTGCTGTCCACAGAATTTTTAATTCCTGTCACGAATTCTGGAAACAGGTCAAAAATGAATATGCATCCGATGTAGCAGTTACCTCTGTTGGCTCACCCTTGTTATATGAAACACCTTTAACGAGAAACCTTTTTCTTAATCTTTCTTAGTGCAATACTAGAAAATGAAATTTCATTATTAGACATTATTTTATTTTTAAATATAATGATCAGTTACCTACCTGGCATAAGATAATGTGTTCAGAACATACAACTAGTAAGTTACATTCAAATTTTTTTGCTATCTTTTCCTTCACTCGGTAGTGCATGTCTGATGAATCATCAGAATACAATTCAAAAATTTGGATTTTCTCTGGTAACTGGATTGCTAATCTGTTCTTGTAGATTGCAATTTTCTTTACAAGCTCTCGGTTTTTTATTCTAACTGTGGAAAAACAAGTTTAAATTAAAATGCTTTAAAAGGTATCACAAGATTTATCAACGTCTACCAAAAAAAACCAGCAATTCTTTTGTGTTGCTGGCTAGTAGGAATAATTTTTCATCTGAGGGAAGTATACCCTTGTGTTTAACTATGTTTCTTTTATATTATTACAAACCACCTAGAGTCATTACAGGAGATAGGTGGCCATATTATTCCAATAAATAAATATCCATTTATTTATCGGATTTATTAAGGCCACTGAAGTCCAAGAAGATTCTGGGTAATATACACTAAGTCCAATACATAAAATAAAAAACACATTAAAATCATTTAATTGCCTGGACCAAAACAACACCTCCAAACAGGCAAAACCAACAGAGGCTCCACAACCATACTAATGTATTATTTAATTAAGGGTAAACACCTCTATTAGGTCAATTTAATTCTGAGGACTGCATGTACTCTTCACCATATGACCATAACTGAGCCCAAAATTATGGTTATAGGTTGTTGCAGTCGTAAGTCAAGGTACCCACATGAGTGGAAATAATTTTACAGATTTTTTTTGTGGCAGTCATTAAATGAATGCTACAGTCTTTAAGCAAGTCTCTCCCTCTCCTATCCCAAGCTATCTTACACTAGGTATGGGAAGGATAAAATGGGAAGAAAGTGCCATATACACTGCAATTTCTGGCAGGATATAAAATCAAATGAATAAACATACGAATAAATCCTATACTAAAACTTATGGCTACATCTCTCATGTTGTTCATAGAAATGTATATAACCATTTATATTTATACAATTAATATAATAAAACAATGAACAATCACTAAGGGCAACAACAAAAAGTCATAATACCACCTACATCAATATACTTTTGACTGCTAACAAAAGGCTATCAAATATGTTGTCATCACAACATCCCCATACCAAAAATTCTACACAAAGCACTTCTGAAGACACAATTAGTGTTCTTGGTAAAAGATATATTGCCTGGTTCAATTTATGGACAAATATTATTTACTGGAACAGGAAAGAGATGGCCCCTGGGTTATCTGAAAACATAATTCAATACTACCTTTTTGTTCAGTGATAAGATGTTGGACAATAACATCTGTCATGCTGTCTCTGTAAGCATAGCGATCCTTATAAAGGCCATGGACTGTGCTGAAAATCAGCTGATACAGTGAAATGGTTCCATCCTGGGTGCCTACTGCCTGAAGAGAAAAGAATTAACCAAATTCAGGGGTCTATTTACGCGAATGATCATTAACTAGAAATGTAGAAATGTAGATTAAAAAGGGATCAAAGTTTTGCTAGAATTTTAAATTATTCTAATTTCTATACTTGGAAAAAGTGTATTGAAGGAAATTTTTTCTTCACATGCATAAGATTTTGGCCACAGCAAAGCCATATAAATTAAAATTCACAAATGTCATGGTAGGAAATAGTTATTTAAATTTATGCTAGATATCATTTCATTGTTTACAATTGTTTTTAATAGATGACAACAATAAGATTACTTGGCTTTTATTTAAAGGTCACAAGAGTAACTAAAAGCATATTTTTAAACATACAGTAACAAAAAGAGTTAAAGAGTTTAAGACATTATTTATATATTATTTACTCTTACACACTTGAGAAATAAGCTTTGAATCAATATTAATAAAGAAAATTGCTCCAGAAGTTAGTGATTTTTCTTAGCAAATACTACATATTATGATTGCCTGCTATACTTGAAAAAATGTGCTTTATTATTAACTATGCACAAACGATCCCTGTGAAATTATAATTCACGTATAACACAATTTGCAATGATTTGATGAAGTAAATTGATTTTGATTATCTCAATACAAAGGCGCTTCACATGACTCAATCACAGATGTTACAATATGCATACCATATAGCAAATGTGGGGAAATCAAAATGAGAAAAGACATGTGAATCAGTAACAGTAAGAGAAGGGAAAAGAAGAGAAAAGAGAAAAGAACAAATGCAGGAAGAACAGGGGACTAATGGGCTGACAAATACTATTTCATTCACTGACAAATAATGAAACAGATTTATGCCACAATTGAACTCAAGGTCATTCATCAGCTTGATGATGATGATCATCATCATCATCATAATTATCAAACTAACAATATAACTGTACGTTCAACCTACAGACATAGAATTGCCTCTGTGATGCATAGAATGTAACTTGGCAGAGACATAGTTATAAAGTCTGTAAAAAGTCATTTCCTTGCAAAACAACAGCAGATTTGGATACATTAGCCATATGGAAACGATGTAGACCAGAAATAGATATTTGTGAGAGAAAAAGTATCTGAAAACACCTGGTATGCGTATTTGAAAGGCTTTTAGAAATTCACCCTTACCACATAATTGGAATCTGGCTTAGCTTTACAAGTCCACACCCAAGTGCTCTGTTCACCAATGGTTCCAAGACGCACTCCATCCTTTGTATAAAGGGACACTTGCTTGTCAGAGCCTCCCATTAAGATGTATTCTCCTTTCGAAAAATAGCTAACACAACATGGATCAAAGTTCAGGACTCTGTCTTTTCCAATCTATAAGAATATGGGCAAACATGTTTAACATTTGATTTTGCAATAAGAAATCTCATCTGTAGACAAGAATGTAATTACATATATTTTTGTATTTGATTAGTCACAGATCTTCATTTGAGCTGCTGCAATCTCTTCATTTTCAAAAACTGCCTTAAAAATGAAATAATATGGTTGGTATTAGGTCTAACAATATATGATGTGCATATTAGCCCATTTCTGTTATTCAAGGATGAGGAGGAAATTCAGCCAGAATAATTCAGTTTAATAGTTTTTCGGCTCAGAAATAAACTGTAATACTGGTACAGACCCCCTCACTTAATTCCACCTGGTCTGCTATGCTTGCCATCTTTCCTCTTTCTCTTTTTTATTTTACTGATTTTACTGTAATTTCTTTCATGCTTGTGAGCTAGCCAATCATTGAGAAATGAGCAGCATACAGGTTTAATTTATATATGTGCATATATACACAAACATATGCATACTTTTCTACAAAAAGGCAAATAAATGGCCCTTTGATTTTGTAGAATATACTGCTAGCTTTAAAAAAATTAGAAAAAAACACAGTATTTGGGAAGAATCTACATACCTACATACATACATACATACATACACACACACAAACACACACTTTCCAGTTAAGAAGTAACTTACTTGCTTGCCACTTAGTTGATAAAAAGAAAGCCTTTGTCCCCAATCTGCCACAGCTAAAATATCATTATGCTCATCTCTACTGAATATAAAAGAAAAAGCAATTATGTAGCAATAGCGCAACAAGCAGACATTGTTTGGCAGTGACAGTATCACTTGTTAAAAGACCTTCTAAAATCTAGATTTGGGGAGCAACTCTAAGGGCTTTAGCGACTCTTTGATTCATAGAAGATTTTACAAAACATCTACAAAATAATAAGCCTATAAATATTGTTTAAAACTGTTTAAAAACAGTGGTTAAATTATACTTTCCTATAAGAGTATAGGGAAGATTAACACTAGAAATTTGGAAAACTAATTCTTGAGTCAATTAATTGAACAAAAAATATTATTTTATGTATGTTGGATGCATGTTTTGAGGAAAAAATTGAGAGATTTAGCCAATAGCTGGAAATGGGTTCAATATATAGTACTGGCTCTTACAGTTTGATTTTATGTCACAATTATATTATTTTCATGGAAGCTCAATGTTTTTGTAGGTTATAATGCTTTTTCCAGCTTCATACCCAATGGTGTGGAAACTAACAAGATGTCAAAAGAAACATACACTGCATGCTCTTATGATTGGGAACAGATTAATATTATAAAAATGGAAGGACATTCATTCTGTCAATTACACAACACCCTGAAAAATCCATTACTCTTTTCATATCAGGAGTCTTGAGTGGAGGCCTGTTTAGAAATTTGGTCTGCTTCAGTGAGCTTTTAAAGCAACACAAGGTGGTAAATTGCAGTTCCCTAGAATGAAGCAATGAGACACTTTGAATATTTTTCCAATTTCCTTCAGCTCTGAGAGTTTCTGGTGCCAAATTAGAGTAGGAAGACAGGTTGGCAAAAATCAATATGGGAAACTTTGTGAAACTCATTATACTGCTTTTACAATATGAAATGGATTATTTTGATAATGAAATGTGAATCAGTAGGATTCCATACATATCTATATTGATCCTAAAATAGTATAGCTTTATTTCCTTGATATTTCACTCACGAGGCGGCATTCCTAGGACTCTCATCTTCCTCACGTTCTTCTTCCTCTGCCTCACTACCCTGACTACTGCATGTGATGGACTTCAGAACTGGTATATCCTCTAAACAGGTGTGACCTGCCTCGTCCTCTTCTTCGCTGTCTCTAGCACTCCAGAGATTCTCCCAGCGACTGCAAATACCAATTGTTTGTTCACATGAACTACAGCCACATAATTCAACTTTCAAAATATGTTAGTTCAAGGTCAGTGCCCTGGAATTAAATAATTTTTCCCAGACAGACTTTGCAGTCTCCCTTGAAGGTTCTAGAATATAAAGAATGTATTGTTTCAGATAAAAAAAAAATTAATCAGGCTGTAGAAAATACAGCACTTTAAAACAGAGACTTTAGGGAGAAAAGTAATGAAAATTGCTGATCTGGACCCATACACAAACATCATTTGAAATGATCGGGTGGCTTGTTATTTCTTAGGCACAATAGTAAAACCAATCAATTAATATAGAATTCCAATATTATCACTATAATACTTTCTTGCAAAGTTTTTTCCATAGAATCCCACGTATTGAGCCACTGAAATCAATGGATAAAATAAGTGTATTGGCATAGGATACAGTGAAAAAAATAGGGGAAAGTTCAAATAAACAAACATTTTGCCTCCTAGCTTCTTAAAACTCTTAAGCAGCTTGTCTCTAAAAATATTATTCTTTTTAAGAAGCTCACTCAGATATTCATTTAAATGTTTTTACACATTGTTAGCATGTATAAATAGAACCACTCTATAATTGGATGGATTTGCTACCATATACTATGCAAAACAGATCTAGTTCCTTAAATATTTATCACATCCTCCTTGGGGTATGAGGAGTGGGAAATCAGGATACAGCTTTCTCTGCAAAAGTCTTGTTCATGTTCATAAAATTCCCACCCTGGCAGTAAAATTCTTTTACCAAGAAACCCCCAATTCCTTCTTTGCGTGGTTTTAATGAATTTACTATATAATGATAAGGAATTTGTGATTGTTCTATAAACACTTTTGAACAACATCCATATAGCCCATAAATTATGCAAAAGTAGAAGTTAATAATTAATGAACGTTAATTATTCTGATGCCTTCTACTTTTGTTTATTTTTTGTTAAGCAACACAAAAAAAAAAGCCAGAGTGAAATCAGGAGCAAACATGAGCAACTTAAATCATTCAATTCTTAGAAGCAAAAAATGTGCTATGTTAAGCAATCCAAACTGAGTGAAAGAAAATACGATCTTTCCTATGGCCAAATGTAATATGGAAATATCTTGTTTCTTACATTTAAAAAAAACTTCAGGATTTATTCCCCAAATTAATCACAGATATGTAGAAATATGGCGACTCCTGAAATCTACGGACTAGGTTGCAATTATACTTGTTAAAGATATCAAGAACGCTCTAAATATCTGAAGCTTTTATGTTTTCACTCAAGACACAAACATGTTACCTTGATGGATTCCAAGAAATAGACCAAACTGGAGATAAAGATCCTCCTGGCCGTTCAATTTTGACTTTCTCTTCACCATTTTTATTCCTAATGCTGACAATACCATTGTACAGCCCCAAAGCAAGATACTGTCCATCATTTGTCCAACTGAAAAAAAAAAAAGCACAGTACAATAGGCTAACTATTCCTCAGAGCTAGAGGGAACCAACAGTACAAAATGGAGGATAGTTGGGGAGTGGAGATTTTGCTAAGCAAGAAAGGCCACCCTGCCACTGATCCCATCTGGCCATTTAGTCAGGAAAGGCTGCGTTCAGCTCCCAGAAGCAATGCCCCATTCCTACTTTAACTCCATCACATTTTGTGTGGCACAGCGGCTGTTAAACATAATTATATATCATTTGAAAGCCCAAATTATAAGCGTTGAGCCAAGTAGTTACATACCTACAACAAGTGATCTTATTGCTAACTTTATGCTTGTTGACTGACTTCTGTTCAGGAGACCACAGTCCTTCAAAGCAACAACATCAAAATACAGAAATTAAAAAATGGTTATAACTGTAAGAGCATTCAAAACACAATAACTGCTAAAATAATGTTATTAATGTTCATGTGTATATTCATCTTAATAAGATTACTTTCAATCTGATTGTCCTCTCCAACATCAGTACCCATTCCTGTGCTGCGTAGTAGCATTTCATAAAGTCATTACCCATCGTCTATATAAAAAAAGCACTACAATGGTCTGGGAGGACTGTAGCTCAATGGTAGAGCCTCAAGTGGATTAAATTTAGGCTCAACCTCTGGCATTACCAGTTAAATGAGAACTTAAAAGCTGATACTAAACAAAACTGAACCATATGGACAGATAGTGTGACCTGCTGGAAACCAAGCTGCTACATTTCTTGAGATTTTATACAATCCGCCCTTCACACTAATGAATATTTCCTATCAGGAAAACAAGGAGGAGAATAGCTTCCACCTTTGTATTCAAAATCTGCTCTGGAGTTTGGGAAATATCCAAGCAGATTCTGATGTGTAGAGGGCAAACAAGAGAAAGGAGGGGGAAGCTTTACTCACATATTACATTTCAACTTTGGGCTACCTAAACCAATATTACAGTAATGGCTGCAACTCTTGCTGGATGTCTTCCTTTGCAATATGAAGCATTAGAATTTGATCTTAAGAATTCAGCAATGGGGAATCCATACCAAAATCACTTGAAGAGCAGGATGCAAGTTGATGTGTAACAGGATTATAAGACACACATTGTATAGAATCATTGTGCCTAAAACAAATTAATAAACAGTGAAACAGAGGCATTGGAAGAATGACAAGCTAAATCAATATAGAAAAGTTATGCCAGCTTTTTATAAGTAAAGCTATCAGATATGGGCTGTGGTGGTCTGGATAACAGCACTAAGGGTTTTCTCTTTCTCTTTACTGCCATAGATCTAGATTTCTTTACTGCCATAGATCTAGACTGCAGAAAGAAGGGGGCAATATCCCTTATCTAATTCATTGAAAAAAATGTTATGTTACTGGAAGGATTCACCTGGCTTCTATTTAAACCTTTAGGTGACTAGTAGCCTTGATGGCAATGTAACTGCCTCTGGAGACCCTGGACTTCCTTGTGCAGTTGGTTGGCCTTTGGGAAAACAGACTGCTGGACTAGGTGGATCAGGGATACAACCCAGCATGAAACTACTCATATGCTTATAGAAGATTTGGCAAATGTTTTATATATTTTGTACATTTTGACCCTCTATACTGGGGGTCCCCTCATCCCTACTACCAGGTTGTGGCCCAATGGCAACCAGGCTGCCAAAGCGGCAGGCAAGCGCGCAAAGTTTTATTTGTGTATGCACAGGATTTAGGTTGCGTGTGCGAAACCATTCCCTTCCACTGCAGAAACCACTGAAGCCACTACCACCAGTCCTCAGAACCAAAAAGGTCAGAGACCCCTGCTCTATACTGCATCAGTGAACAGACAGTGAAACTTCATTTTAACAGACCAACCAAGCATATGTTAAATTGCAAACTATGTACTTCTCAGCAATGTACATAATTTGTATAATTGCTGAAAATAATAATACATTTATGCAAATTTAACTGCCTCATCCAACTAGTTTGGATGCAGTGGACTTGTATGTTACTTGAAGTAATGAGCATTTGTCCTAAATTTGGTCTGTTGGATCCAGAAGTCCATCAAATAGATATTTGTAAATTTTACTGTACTTGTAAGAAGGCTCTAGCCAGCTCTATTCATAGATATTATGCTGACAACCTGTTTCAAGCACTCACAACACAGATGCCTTCCAGACATGCTAAAACATGGCTTTGTTGACTGAAAATTATGTATGATGATATTCAAGCTAAATAGAGAGTAATGGTAAAGGATAATAAATATGTTCAACTCATTAACAAGTAATAGGAAAATATTCCTTTTCTCAGAAAAGTAATGGGATACTTCTGAGATGAAACAATTGAGTTGTTAATCAACAAAACTTCAAAACTTCCATTAGTAGCAATGTTTATGATCCGTTTATGATCTGTTTATTTTGTGCACTCCCATGAATGGCCCTTCATGTGGCCTTAATATGTGTAATGCTGTATACACTCAAGTTTTAGTTAGGACAGGAATTTATAATCTTTTCCAAGAGAACCACTTGCACAATCACTGTATCCATTTTTGGGAGGAAGAGGGAAGTAACTCAACTTCTTCCCTTTTACAAAGAATTTAGGGAGTATAGCTTTGTGCTTCTTTCTTCCACTATTTTTGCTTGGGATCATCATCTCTACTTCCAGCAGGAAATTGACTACCTATTCTTCCCATCAGCAAGATTATTAGGTTGAGTAGCAAGTGGTAAAATAAATAAGCCAGGTGCTATTCCTGTCAGTCAACTGACAAGCAGGGAGTCACTTGCTAGTAATGAAGGTAGAAAAAAAAGAGAGGCAGTTATCAAACAAAAAAAGAACATGTGTAGGAGTTATATTCCTATGCTCAAGCTGGTGCTATGCACATTAACCAAGCTCAGGAACTTATCATTTTAGTAATGAAGTGGAAACATATAAAAATCCTTTAAACAGTTGAATCATATATCATAGCACTATTGAGTTAACCACTTTCTGAAATATTGCTTTACAATGAATCACAAATCCCATATTGAATATTTAAACTTCTTCAGATAATTTCTCAATCATGTGAAGGGTGTAAATGTTTATGGGGAGAGGGCCAAGATGTTCTAGGTTGGCTACTGGTCAGCCCTCCATCACCCTCAGTTTCAGACCTGTCTTTTTCAAATAGATTTAGTTCCCTATAAAACTGTTTTCTTCTTTGGGTCAAGATTCCTTCTGTTTATATTAAGAGTAATTCTTAAACACTCATACATTATAATCACTTACGTGTACTTCAGGATACCTTCTAACTTTGAAGTCCAGATTATGACAGTTTTGTCTGCAGCTCCTGATGCAAAACGTTTTCCTACGAAAATTTGTAGAAGCCAATATAAATTAGAATGAACTGTTAATCTAAAACACAGAAATGAACTAAAATTATATATCATTGTCTTAATCTTGCTATAAATGGGACCAGGGATCACCAGTATATTTAAGGTATAGCTTTAATTTACATAATTTTGTAAACACCAGATTTTTTAAATTAGACCAATTGACAACTAATTGTATATTTAATTAGAATTTTTCATTGGAGTACATTTTGTACAAATGTATTAATATGATCTCAAATGCACCTTCTAATGTTGGCAAACACCTGCTATCTGTTTAACAGACTACCAGACCTAAAGACTTCTCGAAAAAGTTTTATTAAATCTTTTTCTCAGTTCATTAAAAAAATCTTTAACATGTGTTGTTGATAACTATCATATATTTTTGTTACTGGACATGCCCAGCATTTCAAGACTGGTTGAGAAAGTAACATTTAAATAATTATGAAAAGCATACAATAACTATTAATGCATACTTTGTTTCTTTTGTATTAGCAGTCAGCAAATTAGTTGTGAAAAACCTTGGCTATGTGCTAAAAAATAAATTTGAGACATCCTGAGTCCCTTGTGCAGAGATTCCCAACTGTCAAAAGCAGACACTGTAGTGAAATATGCTAACAACAATAATTCAATATTGTACTACTTGGAGGTGAAATTATCAACAATATTTTGAACATACCAAAGAACTTACAATTCCTAAGAGATTTTGATCAGGAGTTGATCAATACTTTGCCTCAGTTAACAAGAGATGCTATATAGATCTTGTATTGGTGACATAAAAAAGACAAATGTAATTGTAAAAAATGTAAATAGTGGATTTCATATTACCATCTTTTGCATATGCTACACAATATACTGTATCCTTATGGGCTTTCAAGGGCTGGATTAATGTTCCATCAGATGTATCATACACCTGTACAGATAAAATAACACAGAAGATATAATAGTACAGATGTATAAATGTACTTTAAGACAAACCATTTTAAAACAAAGATAATCTACAGAAAAATGTTCTTAGATCTCCAATTCTATATTGCAAAATTCCAGATGATTCAACGTGACAGCAAAGGTACCATAACAACATAATACACCAAAACATCTACCATGAATATTATAAACAATGGCACCTAAGGTATACATTATGGAACAATAAAACTCATAGTAAGAACATAAAGAGCATATTAATAATTCAATCATTAATCAGAATAATCATACACTAAAATTGCACAATTCACAATTTCACATTCATCTGTTTTATTTTCCAGCATTTTGAAAGGTACAAACTCTATTGGACACCAATACAAAACTTTCAAGTGTAATATGCTCTGGTGGTTAAAACTTGCCAGCAAGCAGAATCCAGATACCATTTCTAGCATCCGAAATCTTCAAAAACAGCCCCATTCAAAGCACATTGCATATGTCCATTTGCCCACCTAGCAGTTGCCATATACCAGGAGGCTTCCCAGTATACAGGCTTACTTCTTGAGAGATACCATCTCCCACCTAAGACATGACACTGGAAACAATCAGAAACCTGAACAAATCAACAATATCTTGCCTGGCTTTTTCATCAGTCCATTTTGTCTCATTCAGATCCTAATAACCTTTAGACATCAGGACAAGACTTCCATATCATGGCCCGGGGTAGCCCAGGGTAGCAATGGAAAAGTCATCAGCGTGTTGAGGACATACATCCTGAACTGACTGTTCACTTGTCTCAATGGCTGCATATAGATGTTCAACAAACAGAAAGGTAATGAAGTCCTGTAGCACCCCATCACCAAATGTTCACTGGGCTGATCTCACCTCTCCTATAACTACTAACTGAACTACCTGCTAAAGAGAACTATTACTATAGAACAATGACTCCAATCTCTAACCCTGGCAAACTGAGAAGAGGGCAATTCCCTCACCCAAATCCCTTCAGAGGTAACCCACTAGCACAATCAATGCCATCTTCATCATACTCTAGGCCTGAATTCATGAGGGGTCCTTGGTGCTCTCTGAGCTTGCTTGTTTTCTTGCAGATGTTTCATTACCCAAACTAGGTAATATCATCAGTGCTAGTCCACTGATGGTGTTACCTAGCTTGGGTAATAAAACATCTGCAAGAAAACAAGCTCAGAGAGCACCAAGGACCCCTCATGTCAACCCTAAGCTACAAATATTCTCCTTTATTAGTGACTGAATTCAGCATCCAAATAATCCACCTTTTCTAAGGTATTTTCTAATGCCTCTCTGCTGCTCTCAAATAAACCACTTCCCCATCTCCCAAGCAAGTTTATAATCCTGGAATTGCTTGGTAATATTTTGTTTAAGTATTAACACAATTTCAAATATATTTTCTAATGTAAATCTCTTTTAGGTCACATATTGTAATTTTTAAAATCCTCATACCAGCAATCTGTTTCCAGATGCAATTATTAGTTGTGTTCCATCAGGCTTAAAGGCAAGATCATAGATACTGTGAAAACAAAGAATGCTGTTAAAAGGCAAATTCTCTTATCTACTTATTTGTTATTTTCATGAGATAAGTCATCAATCTACAAAACAGTTGTATAAAGTATCAATGTGGCATGGTTGGTTTTAGTTTGGGATACTGTGTGGACCCAATAAGTGCCATGGCCAAATTATTATACATACTTTCTGTATATGTATGTACATACGTACAGTTAAATTATTCTTTATTCATTCTGTTTAAGAAAAATGTGGATTAGTATACTTTTTCATTTATTTAGGTATTTATTCCATTTTTCCCCATAAAAACCTTGCGATTGCCAGCTATTATGTAGCAACTTTGAGATCGCATAACAGAAGCCTGGGAGAGGCATATGTTATTATTTAAGTTATAAACAGACAGCAAACCCCCCATGTTCATACACACTGATAAAGTTATCTAATTGGATCACGAAATATCTGCAAGCAAAACAACTAAGCTCAGAGAGGACCACATACTGCACAGTTCAACCCCGAGTTACATATATTCTCTTATTTCATTAATGTCTATGTCATGTAAATTTAATAAATACATTTTATTGGAATTATTTAACATAAGCCCTGACAGAATAGAAAGTTTGGAAAAGGCACATGCGCGAGGTGAAAGAGCACAGGGTAGTAGCGGTCCCTTTCAGAGTCCTGCTAAATGCAACTCTCTTTTTCCCCCGTTATCCTCCCCAGCCCGGTTCCCGAGAGAGGACCGCCTCTTACCACTGCTCGACCTTATCCCTCCAAGTCAACGCAGCTCGCATGTCGTCCCCTTTATGTGCATCGCCCTCGCCGGCACCCAAATCTCACTCTTTTTGTTTGTTTGTTTGTTTGTATTTATTGACGCAGGACGCCAGCCGGCCTCCCAAGGCAACACGCATGCGCATTCCTCTTTAAACGCCCGCGAAGGTTCAAGGAATGCCCCGTGCGCACGCGCAATCACCCCCCCCCCCCAGCGTAGTCCGCGCATGTCTTGAGTTCTTCGCCGAGCCTTTCAGCTGCTGCTTCCAATATCCCGCGGAAGAGAGGAAAGGTGGTGCCGCGAAAAGAGGCGGAGACGATAGCAAAAGTGCGCTTGCGTCATCGGGAGGCGTGGTCAAGCGAAGCTATGGTTTTTGTTTTTCCCTATCCCCTTCTTATGAAAAGATCATTAGACTGGTATTTTCCGGGACGAGGTTGTAAGAGTTTAAAGTGCGCATGCGTTCAGTGAAGACGTATATGACAAGAATTGGCGACTTCTGCGGGTTGTCGGTCATGATGTTAGAACAGGAAGGAAAGGAGCTCTTTGGGATCAGGTAAGGATTTTTCACTGGAGGAAACCGAGGAGAGATGGAATTTATTATTATAGTCATTAGATTGTGCCAGGCTTGGCCTCAGTGATGTCATAAGGTAAGTGTTCTGTCGATTGAGTTTGACAATGATGCGTGTTACATTTCCCCAGCGTACCATGTTATGATGGTGATGGTGGTCTCCGTTTTCTCGGGTCGTTCTCAGGTCCTATTTAATAGATTACTTGTTGCTCTGCGGTGCTCAGTTTGTATTGATAACAGGCAGCACCTAGAAAAGACTGCCTGTTTGTTCTGCAAAGTATCTCTCGATTTCCCGAAGGGTAAGAAGAAAACCGAAGCTGCAGCATAGGAAAAGTGCTCTGTACGGCAGCAAGGGAAAATTAGCAATTGTTTTTATACAAAATATTTTTTCTGCCAGCAGACATACAAAGAATTCAGCTGCATTTTCTATATATTTGAAGATGCAATTTGCTAGAAGATGGAAGCAAAGCTGCTTGCCTTATGAAAGTAGAAATTGCATTACTGTATTAGATGGATCTGACCAAAATTCATAACGCTTAGGAATCAGTCTGCACCTGGTAGAAAGTCACTAAGGTAGTTAGTTAAAATGTTGTACTGGAATAGAGAACACAAATTCAAGTGTCTGCTTGGCCAGGAAGCTCATGGTGCAACTTTAAGCTAGTAATTTGCTTTCAGTTCAACCTTACCAGGATTGTTAAAATGATAGGAGAAACCTTATAATTACCTTGAATTTCTTAGAACAATGTTTTTTCACCCCTGGGAAATTTCCATATCTAAAATTTCAACTCCTAGAATTTTCAACAATGGCCACATTGGCAGAGGGATTTTGGGAGCTGAAGTCCACCCATCCTGGAGACATCCAGGATGGGAAACACTGTCACAGACAAGGAATCAGCGAACACCTAGAGGCAAACAAAGTCATTACTAAAAGCCAACACGGGTTTGTCAAAAACAGATCATGCCAGACAAATCTTATTGCATTCTTTGACCAAGTGACAAACTTAGTGGACCAGAGGAATGCTGTGGATATAATTTACTTGGACTTCAGTAAAGCATTTGACAAAGTAGACCACAACCTACTACTTGAGAAGATAGAAAAATGTGGGTTAGACAGCATCACCATCAGATGGATCCGTGGCTGGCTGACCGGCTGTATTCAGCATGTGGTCCTCAATGGAACCACATCTACATGGAGGGAAGTGTGTAGTGGGGTGCTCCAGGGCTCTGTTCTGGGCCCAGTGCTCTTCAACATCTTCATCAACAATCTGGACAAGGGGATAGATGGGGAACTCATCAAATTTGCAGACGACACCAAGCTGGCAGGAATAGCCAACACTCCAGAAGACAGGCATAGGATACAGGAGGATCTGGACAGACTTGAACACTGGGCGCTATCTAACAAAATGAAATTCAGTGGTAAAAAAAAGTAAGGTTCTACATTTAGGCAAGAAAAACCAAATGTACAGGTATAGTATAGGGGTACCTTGCTCAATAGTAGTAACTGTGAGAGGGATCTCGGAGTCCTAGTGGACAATCATTTAAATATGAGCCAGCAGTGTGCTGCAGCTGCCAAAAAAGCCAACACAGTGCTAGGCTTCATTAACAGAGGGATAGAATCAAGATCACATGAAGTATTAATACCACTTTACAATGCCTTGGTAGGCCACACTTGGAATACTGCATCCAGTTTTGGTCACCACGATGTAAAAAAGATGTTGAGACTCTAGAAAGAGTACAGAGAAGAGCAACAAAGATGATTAGGGGACTGGAGGCTAAAACATATAAGAAACGGTTGGGGGAATTGGGTATGTCTAGTTTAACAAAGAGAAGGATGAGGGGGACATGATAGCAGTGTTCCAATATCTCAGGGGCTGCCATAAAAAAGAGGGAATCAAGCTATTTTCCAAAGCGCCTGAAAGCAGGACAAGAAGCAACGGGTGGAAACTAACCAAAGAGAGAAGCAACCTAGAACTAAGGAGAAACTTCCTGACAGAACAATTAACCAGTGGAACAACCTGCCTCCAGAAGCAGTGAACCCGCCAGCACTGGAAATTTTTAAGAAGAAACTGGACAGCCCTTTGTCCGAAATGGTATAGGGTTTCCTGCCTAAGCAGGAGGTTGCACTAGATAACCTCCAAGGTCCCTTCCAACTTTATCATCATTATCATTATTATAAAACTAGATCAGAATCTCTTATTAGAACTCTTATTAATTTTCTATGACTCCCATTCCAAAACCAAAACACTGACAAATGTTTGGAACTAAAGATATATAGGAGCTTATCTTACATCAGTGAGTACTTTCATTTGAAATGGGGGAAAAATGTACAGTAGAGGAGGATGGTGGAAAGAAATGCAGGGGGAAAAAACATTTTAAATTATGAAAAGTTAAAAAAAGATTCTGTACAAAAGAGTGGCTTACAAAAAATGGTCCTGTTATATTTATTGACAGTGATATAAGTGACACACACACAACCAAGTTACAACCAAAGAGAAAGAATTATTTATAATAGTAGTAGAAGAAAGCTTGAAGCCAACATTGAAAGTCCAGTGAAGTGTAATGGGCAGGAAGGAGCAGTAGCTTTAGAATTTCCAGTCTATCATCAAACACTTCCAGAAGAATGGGAGAATACAATAAAGCAAAGACAAACTGGTAAAACTTCAGGAAAATATATTGTTTGCTGTATCAGGTAATCCCAGTTGCCCCTCTTGCGTTTTTACTTCTGATATAGCCTGTTGCAGTGTTGGGAAAGCATTCAATGATAGGATACTTTTTGCCAAAAACTATGTGTCGTGTGTGTGTGTGTGTAGATCTTTGGTTATTCGGGTTTTCTCCTGTGTAAAATTGGAAGTGTCTTGGCGACATTTCACCCAAGTCCCATTCGTCATCTTCAGGCTGGTGTTTTCAGCTTCGTGCTTCCAATTTTACGTGGGAGAAAACCCAAATAACCAAAGACCTACATACAAACACCCGCGAAAACCTCAGAAAACATATATATATATATATATATATATATATATATATATATATATATATATATATATAGTCTACAGTAACGCTGCTTTAAAAAGTGCTTGTGTTTCAGGAATATTAAGATGTTCCATTCTGTGCTCATAATATATTCGCAAATACACCATTTCCTTTGATTGTTTACAAAATATGCTTAATACCTGATCTACACCATGTTGTTCATCTGGTGAAGTCCAGTCTTTGTAAACTCTGTATATCATCCTCATTAGAGTTGGAAGGCACCTTGGAGATCTTCTAGTCCAAACTTTGCTCAAGCAAGAGACCCTGCTTGATATAATTATTATTATATAATATATAATATGTATTAGTATTCTAAATATAATTATAAAATGTATAATTATGCATTGCACATTTTATCTTTTAATTGTAGTTCTCAAGGCTACTTCCCTGGCATCTTTGTTTGGTAAATGTGGTTATAAATTGTTCTTGTATTACTGTTTCAATTTTTCTTTCCAAATGGTAGTTTATTATGTATGTTATTTTTCCATAATGACTATGATTATTAATAATACTTTATTAAACTTATATACATCCTGACTCACCTGTTCTGGGTGGCTCACAACAATCAAAGAAATTGCAATAAAATCAATACAGCATAAGATAAAAGATGGCAAATGCGATGAAGCTTAGATTGCTTAGATTGTTTTTGTTTACATGTTTTTTACCCAAAATTATGAACTTAATTTATTGATCGGATTGTTTTTCTCTCAATGCTCAAGGACTCAAGTTCAGAACTAAACGTGCTCTTTTGAATTACTTTGAAGAGGACAAAGACATCATTGTTACAGCAGAGGATTTTGATTTTACTATGGCTGTTCAGAGGAATACACGGTTAAGAACCAAGAGATCTTCTACCAGAAATGCAGGGACAGAAATTGAGCTTTGCATTTCTAGGAGTCCAGTTTCACTCCCTGAATTAGGAAATGGTGAAGAAGATTGTAAATCTTCTCTAGAAAGTAACTTGGGGCTTCGATCCAATACTGGAGAACCAGAAATTCCTGCTACCTGTTTGCAGGATGGGCCCAGTACGGGAGATATTTCTAAGGACTGTTTTTTCAAAAGTGATGAAAATGGTACGATTCGAAGAAAGGTTCCAATTAGAAAATGTAAAAAAACTTCTGAAATAAAGAATGTCACTGATGGCCAAAACAAAATACAGAGTCTACCAGTACATAAAAAACAGACAGGATGCAGTAAACGTGCCATATGTAAGAACAAAATGTGTGTACTTAATAGTGATACCAGTGACAACAAAGTATGCCGAAGAAGCTCAAGGAAAAGAAAAATATGTTTTAAGGATGAACTGTTGTTTGAACCAAACACAGAGCAGAATGATAAACAGATTGAACCTTTCTTAGAACACAAAACAAGCACGGAAATATTAAAATATACTGAGAGTTCTTACAGCGGAATTACGACAGCTGCTAAAAAAAACTGCATTTCAGTAACGGAAATGCAAAGAAACGGGATGGCTTCAGAGAGTGCAAGTGAACAGAGTGCTTCCACTATGGATGTTACTGTTTCCCAGATGTGCGGAGAGAAACCTTTTACATCAGCCAAAAGTATGTGTTTATGTATTTATTTTTGAAGAATGTTTACATTACCTCTCCTCCAAGACTTCAATTGATTTACAAATTTAAAAAAAGCCAGTAAAGGTGCTTGCTGCATCTCCAAGGAAAAAGCAGTTGTTCCAAAAGGTGGAGGGATACTTCAGAAAAGGATTAAATTTAGATCCATGTCCCTTTGATCCCTTCTGAGGATGGGACCCTAAACCAGGGGTCCCCAACCCCTGGTCTGTAGACCAGTACCGGGCCGCGACATATCAGCAGCTGAGCCGCACAAACAAACAAAGCCCCATCCACAAATGCAGGCAGCACACAAAACCATGAACCCTCTGGTCCGTGGAAAAACCTCTCTCCACGGAACCGGTCCCTGGTGCCCACTCATCTCTTCAGAATATATAGACTATGCAGATTCCACTTGAGATGATCTGTAAGGTAACCTAGGGACCAACCATGTAGAATGTTATTAGTATTCCATAGTCAGGCTCTTTTATAATATTAATACAATTATTGTAAAGAAAGAAAAGGGATCTTCTTAGTACTTGACTCATGTAGTCCCCCCACTTATGATCAGTCACTTAATTATAATGAACTCCCAAAAATACTTATGATCCAGATTTGAAGTTTCAACAGCCAGGGTTCCTCTGTGGCCACATGATCATATTTTAGGTGCTCGGCAGCCATCCACATTTAAAATATTTTTTGCCAGAAAAAGCTGTTTACTTTCATTTTCTGGCAAAAAATGCCCATTGCAGACACTGAGTTCACTTAACGATATTTCCTTAATAACTATGGATATTTGCTGAATGACCATCTCAAAGAAATATTGTAAAATCAGGTTAGTCATGTGATGACCAACAGGACTTACAATTGTCACTGTGGATTCAGTTATGGTTATATAATACTACCTGTATTCCTTAGAGGTTGGGTATACTTGCATGGAGTGAAAAAAGGGGAAACAATGTAAAACACACACACACACACACACACACACACACACACGCACGCTTAACCTCTCCTTCCTGAAAACCAAATCTGGATAGTCAAAGAGACAATGCTAGTATTGTAGAACGAAAGGATTATTGTATCTTCTGTCCACAAAGAGCATAATTAAAACATTTACATTTTTTTTACTTGCTTTTGTTTTTCATTTTGCTTTTCTGCAATTAGAGAGCCATACTCAAAAAACCCAAGTGGAAAGGCGGAAAACAAGTCCATATTTTTCCAGAAAGTTAATCAAAGAAGGTAAAAATGTTTTATAGGAAAATGCTTTGTGGAAAATTATTTTTTTAAAAAATAATTCTAATAGAATTTGCAATCTGATATTAGTTGTACTTATGTGGAAGCAGATTAAATTATTTTTATACTTGCACAGTAAAATGTAAGCAGAAATAAGTATAAATACCTACAGTTGTCTTTATGGGTAAGTGAATAACGGTAATATTTGGATGCATGACTTATAAACAACAGAATAATTTCAAATGTGTTATACAATATCAGTAGCTGTTCTGTTTCCAATGAAGCTAGAATGAAGGGAGTAATTGTCTGTGTATTAAATCATCCCTCCTGAAGAGATTTGGTCAGAGTTACACTGGTTGGGTTCAGATATAATGGAAAACTATTGTTTCCAACAAGAGCAACCCCCTGGCACATGGCTCTTATTCATGAATTGTAAGAACAGAAGGTTTTGTTATTATTTTAAAGAAACAATCATTCTCTACTAATAAAAAAAATTAAGAACTGTGATTTATGTAAAATTCCAGCTGCTGAATTTGATTGAGGATTAAACCATAGCTTCCGATTGGTCTCATTAAGAAAAACTTAACAGCCATGGTTCTTAATAGTTTCTCTTCACAAGAGAAAAGGGAAGTTTTAACACTGGCAGGCATATTTTGCTTCATGTATTGCCAGTCTAACAAGCATCTAAACAGTATCAGAAGGAAGCTGATTTTTTTATTCATCCGATCTCTCTTTAGAACTTGAAAAAGCAACCCAGACTCTCTTTGCTGCTATAGAAGAAGTAATTGTAGACAATAAAAGTAAATTATGGTCACTTTTTTTTATATGCACGCTTAGCTCCAAGTCCACCAAGAAGGAAAACTTTCAGGAAATGGACTCCACCTCGTTCTCCTTTTAATCTGGTTCAGGAAACTCTGTTTCATGATCCATGGAAACTTCTGATTGCAACCATATTTCTGAACAAAACTTCAGGTAAATAAGGAACTAATCACAACCATTTCTTGAATTCCCATGTATGGAATTGCTTCCCTATGGTTCAGTCCAGTGCTATTGGGACATGTGCAATTCATTTTGCAGAGAAGCTAAAACAAATTTCCCAGGGAGTGCTAATCAGGCTGTAAAGTGCCATGTAAGCGTTTCTGTCCAAATTATGATTTGATGTATTGCTAGTGAATGTGGATTTGCTTTCTAAGAAAATGGCTATCATCCAGCTGGGTAAGGAGAACCAGAAAGAGGATAGTATTGAGCTTAAATTATGCAAAGTAAATTAATGTTACTAAAATAGAAATTCAGTAGTGACACTTGCTAATATCATGCTAGTTTGGTTGAATCAGATAGATAGATAGATAGATAGATAGATAGATAGATAGATAGATAGATAGATAGATAGATAGATATAGATATATCCTTAATATATTATTATTATTATTATTACTATTATTACTATTATATAATATTAAAAACACAAATCCCGGGTATACACATGGAATAGATAAAAAACGATCCTGGTGTGAGAGAGAGATTAAAAATCAGCTGATAAGTGTTATGACCATATTGACAATATAAACCATAGGGCTGCTTACCACAACACTGATTTTCTGCCACTGAAATTACACGTAGGGAACTGAATCCTGTAAATAAGTTGTAATAATATGGCTAAAAACTGTCAACAGGTTTGTTTCAAGTTACTTTTGTGCAGGAAAATCTGTCTTTTGAGAAATTGCAGCCAGCTTTGCAAATTCAGTGCAAATGTTGTTCACAGTTTCTTATTTTTGCCTAGGAAAGATGGCTTTCCCTGTGCTTTGGGAATTTTTTAAGAAATATCCTTCACCAAAGGTAGCAAGACTTGCCAACTGGAAAGAAATGTCAGAATTGCTTAAACCTCTTGGCCTATATGAACTTAGAGCAAAGACCATTGTCAAATTCTCAGGTAATATGGTATCTATAATATTTCATATGTTTCATGTATATTATCTCTTACAATTTTGATACAGTTCTTTAATATATACCAATATTTTTATTTCTTATTGTGGTTAGGAAATCAAAAATGAGGAAAGATTATTTGCCAAAGGCCTCTTAATAATTTCATGACTGAGACATGAAGTGGAAACTTGTTCCATATATTTGAAATCATTACCATTTAGCACCTCTTGTTGTAAATTGTGATTCAAAAAAACATGTATACACAATCTCTATAATCTCTATTCATGAACTTTTTCATGTTTTTTTTATTTCTGTATTGATACTTTTAAAATTCTTTTGTTATTCTTAGAACAGTTTGGAGAGTTTGGCATTGGAATATTTTAGTAATACGGCCTTTTTGAATTTGCCGAGAAATTATTTGGATATAGAAGTGAAGTGCACAAGTCATCTGTGTTACTTGTGACTATTCTATTTTTGTTTAGTTACTGATAAACAAGCTTTATCAAAGTTTTCATTTCTTATAGTCTTTATAAATGAATAATTACTCTTTAAGTCTTATAAGTCCTATTTCATAAACTTAAAACCAGTAGAATTTAGTCCATCTTATGACATCTTTATTTTTTGTTCCTTAGATGAATATTTGGTTAAACAGTGGAAATATCCAATTGAATTACATGGGATTGGAAAATATGGAAATGATTCTTACAGAATCTTCTGTGTAAATGAATGGAAAGAGGTAATAGAGGCTCGTGTGTTTTTATTTCATGAAAATAATTGAGAGCATAATAATTTAAGCAATATTAATATATTAATATTGTTAATATTGCAGCAATCTGTAATCTAGAAATAATGCAAGAATTATAATTACAGCTACATACATGGATCATATGAATTAGAACTGCAGAAAATAACAGGAACTTGTGCTCTTCTACATAGCAATTTTTAAAAAACTATTATAAGACGGGAATATCTTTTTGCCTTTTGCCCTGGTTGTGTCTTAAAAAACAACAATTGTTAGCTCTACAAAGTATTTTTAATATCACAGACTAATAAATAAAACAGAACCCTCCATACTTCTCTTATATTTATCTGAGAGGTTTTGTGCTAATAAACAGTTTTGCTCTAGGATAGAGAGGGATTTTTTTATACTTCAATAAATGCATATGAAATTATAATAAAATGTGCAAAATGGGTTTCAGCCTGTGTATGAAAATACACTGGGTGATATTAGATTACTGATGGCACTGATTAGGTAAAACATGTTCATTTCTCTTTCAGGTACAGCCACAAGACCACAAACTGAACATTTATCATTCCTGGCTGTGGGAAAACCATGAGAAATTAAATATTAATTATTAGCTCTCTATAATCTCTTTGCCTCCCCTTTCTCACTTTTTAAGCTGTTTTTTCTTGATTAACTATAAATATAAATGTTCTTTTTATATGCCTGTTCAGAATTTATTAAATTCTATTATTCTATATACTTTGCTTAAAAGTGATGTTTCTCATTTTCATTCCTTTGATCATGGCAATTTTAAATACTGAAGTTTGTTTAGTGTAATACATCAGAACACAATAATCCAAGGCTCTATACAATTTACAATTTAGCAAGCATCTAGAGATGCAAATTCAGGTTACCTAACCACCCCTCTGAAGAGGTTTCCTTACTGCAGGGGTGTCAAACTGCCAGCCTGCGGTCTGGATGCGTCATGCCAAAACCATGCCCACCCCATTGCCGGCAATGGAAAAGTCGCAATATGTTGCAACAAGTCATGTGACGTTGTGAGTTTGACACCCCTGGTCTACTGAATCCTGGTTGCTGTTTCTCATTCAGATTGGATCAGGGAGATGGTGATGGTAAAAAGAAACCAATCTCAAGGTGTGAATCTAGCTATTGTGACAGCTCCCATCTAAATCTGGTATTATTTATGATAGGTCTGTATCACATGGGCTTTCTGACAGCAAATCATGTTACAAGATAGGAAGCCATGCCGATGAATTTAAAACAGAGTTTTTATTGTGATTAAAATCTGTGGCTTGTGAAAAAAAGCATCACAATTCAATACTGTATGTTTCTGAAGAGGTAGAAGGACTGATAAAATGCCAAATTAATTTTGTCCTTATTTTAGTCTCCTACATAGGTATCAAATCGAGCCTTTTTTTTCATATTTACTACCATTTTGAACAGCAAAATAGTTGCATTCTCTAACTTAATGTTGTATCTTATTTTTAAGTGGGATTTATCATTTCAGCGGTTTAGTTTAACAATATAGGAAAAGCTTAGTTTATGATAAACCTTGATCCAGTCGCTGGTTCACAACGTGTCAACTTATACAATATTGTATCCAGCTATTTTTGCTTGCAAATCATGATTTAAGACAGCATGCAAGCTATCCCGTCCCTGGAACTTGGTATAGAATAGATCAGGGGTCTTCATACTTGGCCCTTTTATGACTTGTGGATGGACTTCAGCTCCCAGAATTCCTCAGCCAACGTGCCTGGCTGAGGAATTCTGGGAGTTGAAGTCCACAAGTCATAAAAGGGCCAAGCGTGAAGACCCCTGGGATAGGTGAACCACGATTAGCGTGATAAGCCACCCCATAAATAGCTATTTCTCTTAAGATCCAGCTGCATATGTCATGAATGGAGGGGTCGTCAACGCATGACACAAGCTAGTATTTACTCGGTTACTGTTATGCCGCTATTAATTCCCCGCCCCAGCCCTGGAAGGGGAGGGACGCGGGAAAGACCGGCACGAAATTGACACGGGCGTCCCCGGGCTTTGAGACACAACGTTCGATCTTTTCCAGCTGCGCCAATCAACTGCAAGCCCGGCCGCCCGGCCGTTGCCTTGGTGTCAGCCAAAACCCATTTTTGCCTTGTGTTCTAATGGCGGTGCGCTAAGCGAGAGTGGGGTGCTATAGTTAGGTCACTTTGTCCCCTCGCAGCTGAGAGGCGACAAAGCGCGGGCGAAGGGAACGAGGATTCTTCCCTCCTGCTTTTTTTTTCTTTTTTCCGATTCCAGAATTGTAGAGAACGGCGGGCTCTTCCTCCTGTCTTCTGCACAGCCCAGTAAACGGCGCCTGTTTTTTTTTTTTTTTTCCCCTGATCCGAAGACGACGAGGGTGAAGTTTCTGCGCTAGACACGTCGCAATGTCGAGCAAAACCGACCAGTTTAGCTGGGTATCTCAAAGCACGAAAAACCGGAGTGAAATTTCAGGGACTAGTTTCATATCGCAATCTCTTTACGAGTCCGTTTCTTCATTTCTCCGGTGCGTAGAATGCAGCAAGGGCACCTCCCGATTTAGAAAGCTCTTTCTCTCTTTAGAAAAGATTTTGTTTTCGCAGGGGTAAATAAATAGGGTTAATCCGGTGTGATTGCAGAAATCGGAACGGTCGCTAGATGGGAGCAAAGAGTTAGAAGGGCTGTGGAGATTCTCAAACATCCCGCACGGGTCCCAGAGATGCTTTTTCAGGAGGCAATTGAATTTGGGGGGGGGGGTTTCCCCCTTGAAAACGTTTCGCTTCTCGTCCAAGTTTTGAAGAAGCTTCTTGGGTGAGAAGCGAAACGTTTTCAAGGACAAAATCAGTCCAGTTGCCTTTTGGAAAAGCCCCTTTGGGACAAAGAGTAAGAAGGTTCTTCCTCTATTTTCTTGGCATTGAATGGCAGGCTTAGAATGAATAGGTTTAAGAGCCAGGGAATTTCTTTAGGAAACCAGCTTGGTTTAGTGGTTAAGGCACAGGGTTAGAAAGTGGGAGAGGGTGCCTTAGCCATGATATCCAGCTGGGTGACATTGGGCCAGTCACTCAGCCCAGCCTACAATGTGGTTGTTGTGGGGAAACTATGAGGAGGAAGGTGTGTTTTTGGTATGTTAGCCTCTTTGAGTTATTTGTAGAAAATAATAAAGGTGGGATACAAATAAATAAAGCCACTTTATCTCCAGTCCACTAGTAAATTTTTTACACAACAGTGTCCCCAAACAGATGCCCTCTGTACATGGGAGATTGTAATTTCAGGCCCTGCCAATCAAGATTGGAAGCATTCTGTTAGCCACAGTTCATATGGCTGGACCCATCAAGTTCAATGCAAGAGCAGGAACTTTCAGAGGTTTCTGTCCCAGACCTACCCGGAGCAACACTTTGAAGTCTACCTGGAAAATTTTAATGCAATCTTTTTGACACTCTTAAGCTTTGTCCTTTCTCATTTGGTCTTTGGGAGGAATATGCAGAAACATCACATCTCATTTTTACCTAAGAAATGAAAGCTGCCTTCTCATAGATAGATTTTATCCCATATCTATAATTTCTGAAGAAATCCTTATCTGTAAATATCTGTTGAGATCTTACGTTGATTATATATATATTTTTCTATCCCCCAAGAAAACAAAAATTAATGTTTACATAAAATATTTCCAGGTGAACCGTTAGGTATGTTTATTTTATTTTTATTGTATCTTATTTTTTTTAAAGAATGATGGATGGATGAGTGTTACTCTGATTCTACCCAAATTCCTTCTTTTCAGTGAAAGCGAAAGTGACTCCATCGTAAATGAAGCGCCTAAAGAATCCCTCTCAGAGGGGATTTTAAGCCATTGCTTTAAACAGTATAAATTCAGAAATGAATATCCCTATTATTCTCTTAAATTGAAACCAAATAGATTTGGCAAGCCTAAATCTAGACGGCGTATTCATATTGCGCCACCTATGGGCAGTGTGATTCCTAGCATTCATAAGCCTCGGCCACCTGTCCCCCGTGAAGCGGAGAAAGTTCAGGAGTTAAGGCCACCTCCAGAGGCCCAGGACAGCATCTCCACTGAGGAGAGGGACCTGCTAAATATGGAAGCTTGGATTAAGGAGCGAAAACAACTGCGTAATCTGTTGGAGAACTGTGTAAATCTGGAGGAATGGTTGACTGAAAAGAAGCCCCTCACTCAACAAGAAGAAAACATCCTGAGAAAAATAAAAGGAGAGAAGGACGCTAAAATTCAAGCCGAGTTGCTGGCTCTCCAAAGTATTAAGGTAAGCATAGTAGGAAATTAGCATGGTGTCATGGTGCAGAACTGATGACCTTCCAGATGTTTCTAAACTGCATTGGCAAGCTAACCCATCCAGCAGGAAGAATGGTATAAGTTGTTCCTCAGCCACATCTAGAAGGCTCCACTTGTGGATTAGAGTTAGGGACTATAATGGGGGAGAGTCAGTTAAAAGTCCTTGTTATCCATGATGTTCCTGAGGATGACTACAAGCCACCTGTACAACCAGTCTTCTTTTCTCAGTCCAGCCTACATCTGAGGGCTGTATTGAGGATCAGGCAAGAAAAACAAGCTCTTTAGAGGAAGGACAGCATAAAAATCTAATATGTAGATAATTACAATGTCCCAGGAACTCAGTCCTCTGGATTGTCATCGTGCCTCAAAATTATACCTCACTTTTCAGGCAGGCTTCATACCAAGCCCAGCAATAAATCTTGTCACTATGGGCACTACATTTTGTATTCAGCAACTTGCTTATAGTAGTAGCACAAAGGCATGGCTATATGAAGAGATGAGAAAGAAGCCATATATGCAAAGAATATCTGTCTATTGTTGAATCCAGAGACCAAGCCCTGTGTATCTGTCTTTTCCAGATTTAAAGCCTTTTCCTCCCATCTTTTTGAGTCAGCAGACTTTGGAAACATTTTGTTCCTAGTCTTGAAAGAGAATATAGTGTATTTGTGTAGACTTGATGTTTATATACAGGTTGTCCTCGAGTTAATGACTGTAAAGGAGACTGGAATTTCTAAATCATGACAACAACAATAATAATAATAATAATAATAGTAGTAGTAGTAGTAGTAGTAGTAGTAGTAGTAGTAGTAGTAGTAGTAGTAAAGTTGGAAGGGACCTTAGAGGTCATCAAGTCCAACCCCCTGCTCAGGCAGGAAACTTTATACCATTTTGGACAAATGGCTGTCCAGTCTCTTCTTAAAAACTTTCAGTGTTGGAGCATTCACCGCTTCTGGAGGCAGGTTGTTCCACTGGTTAATTATTCTAACTGTCAGGAAGTTTCTCCTTAGTTCTAGGTTGCTTCTCTCCTTGATTAGTTTCCATCCGTTGCTTCTTGTCCTGCCTTCAGGCGCTTTGGAAAATAGCTTGACTCCCTCTACTTTGTGGCAGCCCCTGAGATATTGGAACACTGCCATCACGTCCCCCCCTCGTCCTTCTCTTCATTAAACTAGACATACCCATAATCATAAGCCAAGGCACCCACATGGCCAACCTGATTTTATGACCTTTTTTAATGGTTGTAAAATGAATGTTGCAGTATTAAAATATGTCTATTCATTCCTTTGGCCGTTTTTTGCCAGAAACCAGCACAAAAAAATGTAAATTGTTGTTATTTAATTGTGGAACAATGCAACTTGCCATAAAAGCCAGTTGCCAAGCTCCCGGAATGCATGTAATTGTGGGGAGAGGGGGTACTGCCATCAGAACTCTGGAACTTGGTGGTAATTATCATTTGGGGAGGCATCATAATTTTGAACAGTTGCTACGCAAATGTCATTAAACGAGGACTACCTATAGTTGTTCTATCTGCCTAAATTTTATTGGATCCCGTCTTCTGATTTCTTTTGCAGCAAATATAAATACAATTATAAAATTATCTCTTACTCTGTTATTACCAAAGTGCTTGAATTAATGAATTTGACCTGTGAATGCAATTACTGAAGCCACAAAATGAGATAAAAATAGGACATATGTCAGACAAGTTATCTATTTTTTTGTGCCTTCAGTAATATATTCACCAATCTGCTTGTGTTTTGCAATACAAGTGATGGTTGGCTGATCGACTGCACAACTAACCAAGTCTTTGCATTTCTGCTTTGTCAAAATGACGTTGAGCATAATCCTTTAAAATGTTGGATGTCTTTCCGCAGACCGCCCCCAAGAGTGAACCAGTGAAAACTACGCCTCTTATTCGGGCTCCATATCCGCCATCTATTATTACACTACAAAATCTTCTTCATAAGCAAAAACTCAAGCTTGTGGATCTCTTCAAAAAAGCTGACAGGAGCAAGGCAATGAAATTCAAAAGAGTGGATTTCCTTAGAATTATCCAGGAGGTAGGTGGAAAAACCTTACACTCCCTAGTTCTTGATTTTGGTGGCTTTGAGTCACTGTTGACTCCTGCAGACTGCCTGGATAAGTCGCTGAATTTTTCTTGGCAAGATTTTAGAGGCTGATTTGCCAAAATTCCTTCTAGGGTTGAGAGTGACTGGCCAAGCTCAACTTGTTGGATATCAAGGATATCAAGATAAGAGCAGAGTTCACAGTCTTCCATTTCTAGCCTACAGAAGTACCTTAACCACTGCATCACAGTGGCTATCATAATCACTAATTAGATCAGCATAAATGTAGGGATTCTTTCTTGATGCCTTAATAGGGAAAAATTGCACATTGAGTCAGTAAGTGCTTTTATTTAGTCATTAACTTCACTGACAATATATTTTTTTTCTCCATAGATTGTGAGGGGAAGGGGGCATTTTGGCTTAGCATATTGAAGACTCTCCATTGTGATTTATTAAAACGTGTTAAGCTAGATGTGGGAAGCCTATGGGAAACATGGAATTCCCAGCCCTTATTTTGCAGTTCTGAATGCAATTCCACATGATATTGCCTAAATACAACAGTAAAGCCATCAATATTCAGTTATATGATTCTCTCTTTTTTTGGCCATTTCAGAGGTTTAAAAGTTTCATAATGAGTATTGTTGTTGTTCAGTCACTAAGTCATGTCCGACTCTTCATGACCCCATGGACCACAGCACGACAAGCTCCCTTGTCTTCCATTGTCTCCTGGAGTTTGCCCAAATTCTGTTTATTGCATCAATAAGACTAACCATCTCATCTTCTGCTATTCTTTACTTCTTTTGCCTTCAATCTTTCCCAACCTCAGGGTCTTTTCCAACAACTCCTCTGTTCTCATTAGGTGGCCAAAGTATTTGAGCTTCAGCTTCAGTATGTGTCCTTCCAAATCAATCCCAAATCAGGATTGATTTCCTTTAGGATTAATGTAATGAGTATATCAAGACTTAAAACTGGCTTTCAGAAAACAATGTAAACATTTTAAAATGTGATTGCTCAGTTGTCCTCAGTGAACTACAGTTAACTGAATAAATCACAATTAGTTTGGTTTGCATAATGACTCAAAATTATTTATTAATTTTTATCCTGTCTTTTTACTTTATGTAAGGGTAATGTGTTTGTTTGCCGCCCTGAGTTATTTACGAGGGCCATTCGGAAATAAACCTCTGTTTGGTTATCAATGACAGACACTCACAGATACAGAACTTTTATTTTGCACATTAGCAAACTGCAACATTACATTACTTTTCGACATAATTGCCATTCAAATTGAGGCACTTGTCATAACGTCTTACAAGGTTTGAAATTCCTTAGTCGCTCGGCACTATGGGAAGGGTGATCAAAAGCGTCTCAATGGAACCGCTTCAAAAGTTCTTGGGTGCGTCTAGCGGTGTGCGGATGAGTATTATCGTGAACCAGCATGCCCCGATACTTGTTATGAATGGCTTCTCTGAGTTTTCTTAATGTTTCACAGTAGACTTCTGAATTGATGGTTGAATCACACTCCATGAACTTCACTAGCAGTACTCCTTTGGCATCTTCACATTTGGCGGGATTTTCTATGGCACCACTTCCAGTGTGGTGTTGGTTCATGATAATGTTCACCCACACACCACTAGACACACCCAAGAACTTTTGAAGCAGTTCCGTTGGGATGTTTTTGATCACCCCCCACCCATAGCCCAGATTTGATGCCAAGTGATTACTACTAAAGAATTTCAAACCTTATAAGACGTTATGACAAGTGCCTCAATTTAAATGGTGATTATGTCAAAAAATAATGTAACCTAAGAAGACAGAACTCTTGGAATAATTCTTCCAACAGGAATCCTTTATTAAGAGAAAATGGTTGCAGGCATGCTAGACAGGACTTGGGGTTCAAGCTCTTCCATTCAAGGTTGTAAGGGGTTCCCCAGTAGTCCCACCCAATCAACCCCCCTTCCAGTGATAGTTTCAAGTATCACAATTCCACCCCCTTTCTTCTTTCTTCCGTCTGAATGGAGACTTCAGGTAACTACATGAAAGGCAAGTACCCTGCTTTGTTATGATAAGGTTCTCTAGTGCTAACGCTTTGATGTTACAATAAACACACATTCAGCATTCAGCTCTTTGAAGTGTACTGAAGGAAGTGAGGGCCATAAAGCCCCTTTGTTCTCCCCCTTCTCTCCTCTTATGGCAGAATCCAAGAAGGCAGAATTGGGAGTTTCTATATTTGATAATTAAAGATGAAATATAATTGGATTCTGACATCCGGCCCCTCTTAAAAATAAGAGAGATCCACCTGAAAGAAAACACAAGTATAAAATTTAGTCAGGCTTGTTAGGATACTCTGTGTGAAACTTCTTCAATAGCTTCGGGGCTCTGACATGACGTTTATGGACCCACTCATTTTGTGAGGGAGGGAGGTGTTTCCAGGCAACTAGGTACTGAGTTGCTCCATGATATCTCCTAGAGTCAAGGACTTCCTTTATTTCGAAGTGTTGTTCACCCTCCACCATGATTGGAGGTGGTGGGGGGGGGGGATTTTTGGCCGTAGAGGTGACTGATGCTCTCTTTTCAGCAAGCTGCAATGAAAAATTGGGTGTATTTGCCTGAGATTTTTGGGTAATTCTAATTCTACTGTTACTGGATTTATGATTCTTTTAATTGGAAAAGGTCCTATATATTTTGGTCCAAGTTTTTTACAGGGCTGTAGGGACTTTAGGTATTTTGTAGATAAGTACACCATTTCTCCTATAATGAATGGTGTAGGCTCAACCCTTTTTTTATCGGCTTGTGTTTTATATGCCTGCCTAGCTTCATCTAGTGCTTTTCTGACTATTGGCCAGGTGTTTTGTAATTTCTCCATCCATTCTTTCAGCGAGGGGATCGTTGGTTCGTTTGGGGTTAATTCTGGCATGGGGTTGAAACTTTGACCGGTGGCTATTTGAAAAGGAGTGTAACCTGTGCTGGAGTGGACTGCATTATTGTAGGCAACTTCTGCAAAAGGGAGTAAGTCCGCCCACTCGGTCTGCTGGAAACTAAGAAAACATCTTAAATATTGCTTAAGTACGGAGTTCATTTTTTCAGCCCCCATTTCCTTGAGGGTGGTGGCTAGATGTCAGTCCCTGAGTGGTTCCTAAGAGGGATAAAAATTCCTTCCAAAATGCAGACGTAAATTGCACCCCCCTGTCAGAGATGATGCGTTGGGGTGCCCCATGCAATCTGTAAATGTGTTGGATGAAAAGTTTTGCTAAGGCTTTTGCAGTGGGAATCTTTTGGCAAGGGATAAAGTGCACCTGTTTGGAAAACAAGTCCGTGACCGTCCAGACCACAGTATTCCCATTGCTTTCTGGCAATTCCACTATAAAATCCATGGCTATTTCTCTCCAGGGGGCTGAGGGACTTGCCACTGTTTGCAATAGTCCTGGCACTTTCCCTTGCAACCTCTTTGCCGTGGCACATTTTGGACAACTGGCTATATAACTTTCAATGTCCTTTTTCATGGATGGCCACCAAAATTGCCGTTTAATTAAATGTAAAGTTGTTACAAATCCAAAATGCCCTGCTGATTTTGTGTCATGGCAAAGGTGCATGAAAGTTACTCTTTGAGTTGTTGGTATATATAACTTTTCCCCTACCCAAGGCAACCCGTCTCTCATTGTGCACACATTTTTGTTTTTCTGGAACCATTCATCTGTTTCCAAGCTTTTTCTGAATTCAATCCCAGTTTGGCTGTCCAGTTGTGGTTTTATTTTGGCTTGGGTTCTTGTGGTTACTGGTGCTGCCAGTTGTGACTCTGCCATTATTGGTCTAGAGTCTGTGGTTCGTGCGCTGTTATATTGGGGCATGCGAGATAGAGCATCTGCCAGGAAGTTCTTTCTTCCTGGTAAATGTTTGAGCTTAAATTGGAATTGGTGAAAATGCTGGGACCAGCGGGCTTGTTTGGGATTGAGTTTCCTGGAAGTTTTCAGGGCTTCTAAATTTTTGTGATCAGTCCACACCTGGAAGGGGATTTTGTTGCCTTCCAGGAACTGTCGCCACGTGAGTAATGCCCAACGTATCCCATAAGCCTCCTTCTCCCATACGGGCCAGCGCTGTTCTGTTTCCGTGAGTTTCTTGGATGTATATGCACAGGGTTGCAATACTGCATCATCATTTTCTTGTAATAGCACAGCCCCCACTGCCACATCACTTGCATCTGCCTGTATTACGAAGGGCTTGTCCATGTCTGGGTGCTTTAGTATTGGTTCGGCAGAAAAAAGTCTCTTTAGTCTCTCAAACGCTGCTTGGCACTCCATTGTCCATGTTAGTGGCTGGCTAGGTTTTACTGAGGATGCTCCCTTCGTTTTTAGTAAGTTAGTGAGGGGCAAGGCTATCTGGGCAAATGAGGGGATGAATTGGCGGTAAAAGTTTGCAAAGCCCAGGAAACTTTGTAGTTGCTTTCTTGTGCGGGGTGGTGCCCAATCTAATACTGCTCTGACCTTCTCTGGGTCCATTTCAATGCCCTGGGGGGATATGCGATAACCTAGGTAGTCTATCCTTTCCTGGTGGAATTCGCATTTTGAGAGTTTGGCATATAGGTGAGCGGCTCGCAGCTTCTTTAAAACCGCTCTGACAAGTTTGACGTGTTCTTCTTTTGTTTCAGTAAAGATAAGAATGTCGTCCAAGTAAACAAGGACCCCCTTAAACAGGTGCTCCCTTAGAACGTCATTGATTAATTGCATAAAGACTGCAGGGCCCCCTTGTAATCCAAATGGCAAGACTTTGAATTGATAGCACCCCATGGGGCAGTTAAATGCAGTCTTCCATTCGTCCCCTTCCTTGATTCTCACTCGATAGTAAGCTTCCCTTAAGTCTAGTTTAGAAAAAATTTTCCCTTTCGATAGGTGTGACAGCATGTCTTTCATGAGGGGCAGCGGGTATAGGTTGCTTTCACTGATTGTATTCAGGGCCCTATAATCCACGCATAAACGTAAAGAGCCATCCTTCTTCTCTCTAAAAAGGACCGGGGCAGCCACTTTAGGCTTGGCTGGCTCAATGAAACCTCTCTCCAGGTTTTTTTTTATAAATCTTTCCATTTCCTCCTTCTCCTTTGGGCTCATGGAGTATAATCTGGGCTTCGGGAGTTTTGCCCCAGGCTTGAATTCAATGGTACAGTCTGTGGGTCGGTGGGGGGGAAGCTCATTCGCCCTCTCCTCACTGAAGACTTCAGCAAGGTCCCTATATTCCTCTGGTATTTCTGTTAATCTTTTTTCCTCTCCTATGGATGCTTTTTCTATTCTTGATTCTGGTAGCCTCCCTTGGGGTTTTAAGTCCATAGGGTCCCCCTTCGGGAATTTGATTTCTGTCGTCCTCCAATTTTCCCAGGGGTTCCATTTTTTCAACCATTCCATCCCTAGAATCATTGGGCATTCCATACCTGGGGTCACCACAAACGTTAAGTCCTCTTCATGGTTGCCCAGGGAGAGATGTATTGGCAAAGTGGCTAGGGTAGCTGGCACCCCCCCTGCTATGGATCCATCTAGCTGGCCAAATGAGATTGGTTGTTCCAGTCTCCTGGATGGGATGCCCAGATTCCCCACTAGTGTTGGGCTAATGAGGCAGCGGGTGCAGCCAGAGTCTATTAAGGCTTTCACCTTCACAGCTTCGGGCATGGGGGGGATTAATATAGTCACTGTTTTGAAGATGGGTGTGATGCATCCACTTACCAGGGGTTCGCCCTCCGAGCTGTCATCTGAGGCATCCACCGGCCCTGTGGTGTAGGCTGGAGTCCTTTCCCCTTGGTGAGCAGAGGTGGGGGTTTCTGCAATTTCCATCATTCTCATGGCCGTTTCTTTTGGCTTAGCTGAATACTTTCCGGGTTTGTTGATTGGGGATCTGTCTGGGTTGTGCTGGGGGGCCTTTGAGCGGCATTCTACAGCTCGATGCCCTTCTCTTCCGCACTTGAAACATCCCATTTGCTTCTTGGCTGTATCCGATGATTTCACCGGTTGGTGTGTCAGCTCAGGCGGGGGGCGGCTCCATTGTTTTCCTCGGCGGTGCCTCTTCAATATGTCGATCTCTGCTTCCTCTGCCAAGACGTACCATTCCTCAAGTCGATGTGGGTCCCCTCGGGGCAGGCAAGCATCATATAGATCATAGTTTAGTCCGTCTTTGAAACGGCCAAGGAGGATGTCTTCT